TAATAAGGATGCCATTTACTCTCTATAAAACCGTGCGAGCCATTGCATCAGTAGTGGGGATTCATGCATCAACTAATTTAATCAAAAGTTAAACCGATGTGCAAATGTGGGCATATACCTCAGCACTGATGTTCCCAAGTCAAACATATTGATTATTAACTATTAGGCACACAACAAACACAAGATTAATTCTTACCCCATTGGTAACTCATTAATTCTCTGACTTACTGTTGGTATCTTAAAGGTGTAAAAGGTGCAATATGAGTTGTTACATGAATTGACCGTCGATAGAGATTATATACATATCTGGTATGTGTTAAAGGGTGTAATCTAGCAATCGAACAGTGATCAATTGGCAATCTAGTTATAGATATAAAATAGGAATTCGACCATCGGTGTAATTCAACCATCCGATCTCGATCCACGGTACAGATTGACGCGATCTAACCTAGATAGTGGCTTTGCTCCCCCCTAACAATAATCCCAAGGGGATCCGGATGTGGCATCTTTGCCTAACCTTTTGGTTGTTTTTTGAGTTTGCTTTGTATGGCAATCGTTTCTGTCGCTGTGGGTGCTTGCTGACATGAGATATTCCGAACACATCTTCTCCCGCTTTGAACAAATTTCGTTTGCATCATGTCGATCAGCACTGCTGTTCTCACTCACTCGCTCGTGTAGACGGCGTGTGGCAGCTTTATTTCTTCTTTTTTTAAATTTTTTCTTTCTTTTCTGCTGCCTCGTTTCGTTGTTATGGGAAACAAGGATCAGATGCCACACTGTTAATTAATTAATTAATTAAATCGTACAGCAATTAGAGAGCACCGAAGTCTCGCTTGACCTCCCACAAAGAAAAAGAACAGGAAAAAGTCACCTCTAGAAATCTTTTACTTTGCCAATGATTGATTTCGACCATCGCTCAGTAAACAACAATAACGACCGGTGATTAATCTGGACAGAAAGTATGTCCAGATTCGTAATACTGGAATATACATGTCATATATATTTATTTAAAATCCCTTATATACTAGGACAAATGAAGCATGCCCTTGGATAGTCGGCGGTAAGAAACACATGTGCACTGTAGGTTACTGAGCCGAGCAGTCGGTAACATCGGATCCCCGTAACGGGCAAAGGGGCAGGCAGACAGCAACAGCAACGGCTTTGCGGCTAGCTATAGCTCCGACCAATTTAATTGGCCAGTACAAACTCTAGTGCACACCACATTAGTACATAAACACACCAAATTAATACACGTCTTGTAGCTGCGAGACTAGCAATAGCAAGCGGTAAACAGCACTAGTACAGCTTATGGCATTCAAAATTCAAACTGTTACGACCAGCCGTAACCGCAGCAGTGTGCAATTGAACTGTGCAGTAGTGACGTTTGCATGATAAATTCGGTTGAAAATGGTAGGCATTTCTTCGGAAACAATTCTTAAATTGATTACGTTTACTAATGTAACTGTTTAGTGCTGGCAGCAGTATGATACTGAAAAACAAACTAAAAGAAAAGATAATTTTGTTTATGCCTAAAATCGAAAATATTCCCATTTATACGGAAGCAACGCTCGGTCGGTCGGCGGATTTCTGAAACTGAGCTGAAACATGCGTCGATTCATCGATTGGTTTGGTTGTGAAAACGTAAAGGTTTGCATTGCGGCTGTACTGTACGTGTGTGCACTGTCGGTGCCAGGGAGCAGTAACAGTGCAGGAGCAATAATAATCTGGCCGGAAATGAACCCAACTAATAATAACCGATCAGCTCTTCTCTGCGTACGGTTCTACTTCCTCTGCAGCTATCGATCGATCGAGTACTGCTGCAATCTTTTGTCTGTGCAATGCAATGACAGTCAGATTGATGAACATAGGATGTACTGTTTGTGCCTTCATATGATTCATCCTTGCAACATTTTTCCATAAAAGGGTAACATCGGTTTACTGCACCAAACATTTGGATTTTGGAAGCCATGAAACAAAAAAGAAAAAAGAAAACCTGTAAAATACATAAACCATGTGGCATTTGATTAAAACCGTTCATTTTACCTTCCTCAAACTAAGCGAGGTGGTTTGTGCAATTGCGCTTATATTTGTGGTTGCATAGGAGCTCTAGTTTGTGAATGATAACAAAAAAAGAAAGATTAGGTGTGATGCTAACTAGGGTGGATCCAGGAAAAAAAATAGTAGAGGTTGAATAAACTAAACAAAACTCGAACCTCTTTTTCATATATGTATAGTAGAAATTTTTAGAGAGCTCGGTGAGGCTCCTATAGTCTCTTGTCAATAGTGAGGGCTCGAACCCTCGCCGCCCTCATGGCAGATCCACCACTATGCTAAGGGAGGAAACAAATGATGGAAACCTTGACGAAGTTTTCATCATAGGCGATGAATATGATAATGAACGACAACATCAATCACCACATGGAAAAGTTATGTTCAATTCTCTTGGTAGTGGTAGCTTTGCTCCAACTAGTAAGAAAAATAGATGCGAACATGTCATTGCATGGTTTACATGCTAAACATAATATGGAAATACAGTATATCCCTAAAGCCGTTCTCTTTGTTAACATATCAAGGAGTCACCGATGAGTCCATCCATACATTTGGTATTGCACATTTTAAAATTTAGTTAGAACTGATTGAACTCTGGTTTAAATTTTACTAAAGTGTATCAATAGGTGGTAGTATAAATAAATACGGTTTATTGATGAAAAATAAAAGATTCTACTACCAATAAAAGCCACCTAGAAATATGTCTAAAAAAAAGCTTTAGGTTAGAAGCATGAAGAACCCTTAGCGATTGAGTGTTGAAGGAAAGAGTTATTATGTGTTATTCTGTCAAAAATGATTTAGGGCTAAAGGCATCTTGGTAGCATTTTACTGTGAACTCTGTTTAGGGAGTAGTTAGATATTCTTAAAAGCAGTCATGGGGTACCCTATTGAGAATTTTAAAAAAACTAATGGTTGCTTGTTTATTTCTATATCACTATTCCCTCCGGTCCAAAATATATTTTTAGCCTTCATAATTTGTCCTAAAATATAATAATTTTTTGACCAACATTCTTTTCTCAACTAATCACAACCCTCTACCATTCAATTTTCCATCTACCTTCACTTCTTATTAAATCGCAACCTACTCTCATTTAATTCTTTCTACTTTTCTTAATAACCGTGTTCAAATAAACCTAAAAAATATTATATTCTGATATGAATGTAGTAGTAAAATGTTATTTTTACCTAGAGTAGTAGTAAAATGTTCATGCTTTGCTATGAGTAAAATGTCCATATTTTGAATATATGTTATTCACTTGATTTAAATAAATATTAAATTATTACATAATATTAGATAATATCATGGACTAATTTATACAGTAGGGGTGGTAGGCCAATAACAGAATCACCACTATAGCTATAAAAAGTAACTTCCTAAATATAATGCTTAAAACATTTGCAAAATACAATACTCCATCAATCCCAAAATATAAAGATTTTGATTAGATAAAACATGTCTTACTAGTACGAATTTGGATATGAAGTACCCCTCCGTCCCAAAGAAACCTAATCCCAGCTACAAATCTAGACAAATACGTGTTCAGCTTCGTAGTTAGGATTTGATTTGATTTTTTTTACAGAGTAGTAATTAGGAATTTTCGCAACAGTGTGGATTAACACCGTACTGTTATCTCTCTCTGTAAGCACATGGTCCACACTGTAGACGTGAAAAGAAAAATATATAATCCCTCCGTTTCGAAATGTTTGACGCCGTTGACTTTTTAGTACATGTTTGACCGTTCGTCTTATTCAAAAAATTTTGACACTTAATAATTCTTTTCCTATCATTTGATTCATTGTTAAATATATTTTCATGTAGGCATATAATTTTACATATTTCATAAAAGTTTTTGAATAAGACGAACAGTCAAACATGTGCTAAAAAGTCAACGGTGTCAAATATTTCGAAACGGAGGGAGTAACATTCATTTTCATCTCCAAAGCGGCCTCTGAAATCTGAATACCCCAAATCTTTCTTCTTCCCGCCGCTGGCGATGGTGCAGAGCTGATGAACTCTTCAGTCCGGCTGCGACGCGAGCAGACAGATCTGAGATACTCTCTCTCGGCTCGATTTCTGACAGCCCACTGTTCCTGCTACAGCATGTATGCATTGCATTTGCATCGCAACGCATTTGAGAGAGAGAGAGATGATGATGGACTCACACAGATTCAGTTTGTGGGCGCAAGAACTGAGCTCACCTCGAGACACTGACAGATGTGGGCCTCCTCCTCCTCCTCTAAAAAAAAAAATTGAAAAAATCATGCAGAATTTCTTTTCCCCAATCCAAAAGCTGTCACCTTTCTCCCTAAATTCAGCTTCTTTTTTTTCACTAATGCCTCCTCCCCGATGCAAAATGGTGGAGCTCACTCGCCACCACCACCGGATTTATTATTGTTTTTTTTCTTCCTCTCCTCTTCTCCTTTTTGATCAGTCTCATATTCCCACTCCCACCACCACCATCTCCACTAGCAGCAGCAAAGATGGCTGATTTTATTATGAAAAAGGGGAGGCGAAAATGCAGCATTTGTTTTCACTTTGTGTTTGCATCTCCTCCTCCAGATGCCCGATTTCAACCAGATTCTGCCAAGATTTGAAGATGGAGAGCAATTATTGATGGTCTTCCTCAGAAAAAGAGCTCTGATTATGGTCTTGAGCTGCCACTTCCTTGAAACAACTCAGCAAACCTAGCTCAAATGTCAAGTGTCAGTGAGCTCCTCTGTTCAGATCAAAACTCTTACCTGATCTTGATGAGAGTAATCAATAATGCTGGCTGGCTTTAGAAACAAACAGAAAAAAAAAAGAGGGTGTAATCTTTATAGCATGTGGCATGACGAATTCGCCCTGAACCTAAGCATTTGATTTGTTTGAAATGAGACCAGTTCTAAGGAAAGTACTGCAAGAGTGAAGTGTCGTGTGTTTTTAATACGCGTATATTAGCTGCCATAAAAAAAATGTCAACTTGAGCATCCACTTGCCTCTCGCATATAACTCAATTTAGAAAACTTTAATGTACAAGATTTGGACTACCAAATTACTCTACCAAGTCAAATTGCCAAAGCAAGCTTCTGAAGCAAGAGAAGTGAAAGGAAAAAAAACAAGCTAAAACCTATGCAAATTCCATCAAGATGAGGAAGAAAAGAAAAACAAAAGAGGAAAGAACAGTTACTTTAAGCTCGGCGATCAATTAATCTCTCTTAAGCGCCCAAATTTACTGTTACAAACACTAGGATTACAACATGACTGACATACACGGATTCGATTCGATCCTCCCAGAGCTCACAGGAGAGACTGAAGATGAAGATGAAGATGAAGATTTGGACAATCCAGCGATGAAATCGCCCTCCATGAGCCATGTAATTAGAGCATCATTAACCAGACAAGCAGAGCATACCAAGGAGGAAGAAGAAGAAGAAGAAGATGGCGAGATGGTCACTGCCGACCAGGAGACTGGAGGGGGAAGAGGGGGAGGAGCCTGGGAGGCGGCTGGAGCTCGCCGGCGGCGCCGGCATTGCCGCGAGGGGAAGGGTGGAGGTAGAACCCCTTCTCGGCGATGGCGCGGTCCTCGGCCGCGGCGGCCTCGTCGGACCCGGGCAGCGGCGGGAGCGGCGTCACGGGGCTGCCCAGCGCCAGCGACGGGAAGTCCAGCATGCTCGGGGACAGCACCTCCATCCCGCCGCCGCGCGGCGAGAACCCCCGCGGCGAGGGCGAGAACCCCCCTCCTCCGCCCGCGGCGAAGGCGGCGGCGGCGGGGAGCAGCGGGCAGAGCATCTTGAGGCTCTTCATGCTGCTCCGCCGCTCGTACAGCTTGAACGCCGGCTTCTTCGGCCCCGGCGGCGCGGGCGCGGGCTTCGCCGCCGCCGGGGGCGGCGCGGCGGCGGCTGCGCCGCCCGCCGCGGCGGCGGCCGCGGTCTCCGGGGTGCCGGTGAGGATCTGGACCACCTGCTTGAACGACGTGGTGTCCGCCTGCACGAACGTGGTCGGGAACGGGTTGGAAGGGTCGCCGGCGGCCGCCGCCGGCAGCGGCAGCGGCGAGTGCGGCGGCGGCGCGTGGGTGGAGGTGGTGGCCATGATAAAAATGTCGCCTTTGGCAAGGGAGAGAGAGAGTGAGGGGAGGATAGAGGAGAGAAGAGTGAGGGGGGGTTTTATTGGGCTTTTTGGAAGGTGAAATAAAAAAAAATTGGGAGCTTTGGGATCTGGATTTTCTCCTCTCCGGAATATGTTGGCAAAATGCTTGTGAGTGACTTGGCTGGCTGAGTGTGGGGGCTAGATCTGAATTCTGACCTGACCTCTTGAAGAAATGTGGTCATACCAGTACTACTACTAGTAGTAGTGATGGTGGCATAACTTCAGGAACTCAGAAGATCAGTTCTTGTTGTGCTGGATGACCAAACAGGTCAGCTGGATGTGTGTTTGAATTCTTGGGTTTGGTTTGGATCTTGTTGTTCTTTGGCTGGGTGAATTTGCTGTGGTTTCTTAATGCAAGGAGAATTTTTATTGTGTTTGTAAGGGAGGGTTACGTTTGTAATTGCAATCAAAAGGCTATGGTTGTTTAAGTAAGGGTGAATATACATACTTCGCCAGTGGATTTCTCTCATTCTTTTCGTGCAAGTTTTTAATTGAAGGTTCCGTTTTTTTTCTTTTGAAAAGTTTTTTCGCAAAATCCCAAAAGATACAGTTGTCAGCCAAGCTGGGGCGATTTTCAAAGCATTGTGTTGTTTTAGAAAAGGTACGGTGTGTAGATGGTTTGCAAATTCCTCGTAACGGCTCGATGGTAGAACACGTCAAAATTCTGCTGGCATTGGGTCCACAAGAAGAGTGTTCAATCGTATGGCTTTATGTGAAGCGTGTTTCTTTTTATTCATGATATGCATATGATAATTTCTAGAATTATTAATATTGTTCTTTTGACTCTACTTTGAATATTGCATAGCATGGGTTGGTCTCCGGAGGAAAATATCAAGCTTTTTGGAAAGACAAAGGTGCATAGATGGTTAACATTGCCTAATATGAGTTTGATCTTCGGATGAAAAGATCAATGCCTACGGAAAGGCATGGGCACAAGAATTAGAAATTGAATTCATCAAATTCATGCAAGTTTTTGGTTAGATGTTATGTTCTATCTTTTGAATGGACTTTTACAACATTCCAGAGATGCATGCTAAGTCTATGGCGGTTTTCAAAGTGTTGTGTTGTTTTAGAAAATATGCAATGCATGAAGAGTTTGCAAACACCTCGTAACCGCTTGATAGTATGAAACACACCAAATTTTGCTATCATTGGGTCCATAAGAAGAGAGTAATTGTACGGGTTCACATAAAGTGTACTTCTTTTTCTTCACGGTATGTGTAAAAAAATAAAGATAGATTTACCTGCTAAGCCTTATTAATGGTTCTCAAAACATCATGTTGTTTTATAAAGGACACAATGTATGGACAATTTTCAAACTCATTGTAACACCATGATAATAGAACACATCAAATTATATTTTCAATTGGGTCCACAAGAAGAGCGTCCGTTTGTATGGGTTTAGGTGAAGCATGCTTCTTTTTGCTCACAATACGCGTTGAACAATTTATGTAATTATTTAATATTTTTTTGGCTCTATTTTGAACAATGCTTAGCATTAGTTTGATCTCCATAGGAAAATATCAAGCTTTTTGAAAAATACAAGGTTGCATGGATGGTTTGCACACTCCTTTTTACAGCTTGATAGTACCTAAAAGAAAACCCGCCAAATTCTGTCGTCATTGGGTCCACAAGAGTTGTCATTTGAATGGATTCATGTGAAACATGCTCATTTTTCTCCATGATATGTGTGCAATAATTTCAAGAATTATATGTTGTTAACACTAATTTTTATTCTATTTTCGTAACACGGTATAGCATGTTGATCCTCATGAGAAAAAATGATCAAGCTTTATTAAAAAGAATGGAAAGGTGGAGGAGGTATACACACTACTGGAATTCCACGGGGTCCCTAGGGTTTTCAAATGTTCCCTAGAGCCCTAATTAGAACCCAAGGGGATAATAAGTTCCCTAGAGCCGAAACTAAAACTCAAGGGAACTGAGATGATCCCTAGAGTTTTTGCTTGCTCCTAGGGAAACTAGTACAGTTGGCACTGATAGGAGAACCACGGTGGCAGGGTCCATTGACTTTTTCAGAAACCAACCACGTGGAAAGGTTGTAATAGTTTCTCCCGCCTTGTGAATCCAAAATTTGGACTGTGCACCATATTCTCTTTCCATTGGAAAGTAATAAAGTACCCCAAGCTGCTAAACTTTCCCCTTTGTTCTTCCTTCAACATGTTCTTTCATCTCTTCCTCCCCAAATCAACTCCCTCTCCAGTCTCCACCACCAAATCTACCCTCAAGTAGTAGAGATCGATAGGAGCTTCGACCTTCGAGGGTGGTTGCAGCAGCACTCCTGAAGGCCGTGGTGGGCGTGGGCTGATTGCATCTGTTTGCGGGTGAGAGGCGACGCCGGGACAGGGGTGAATCAAGGCCACGGCGACCTGTGCAGCGTGGTGTTGCCGAGCTGCTCTCTAGTTAGCATTTAGCAAAGGTACTCGAGCAGATATTTTTCTGTGCATATTTTGAAGTTTTGATTTTTGATGAATTATGTGCTTGATGCAGATCGGTAAGGCCGAGAAGTCAAGAACTTGAGCTATGCTTGCAAAACTTGATAAATGAATCATATTACTGCGGTTAGTAATCAAAGCTAGAAATCATGTGCTTATTATATTGAACAAATAGAGAATCCCACGTATGTAGCTACAGATTTCCATAAGTACTTATTTTCTTCAACCTTCCTACTCATTTTGCAGCTTGATGACTTCTGGAAGTGCTATTACGTACCATTTCAATTGGATACAACTACTGCAGAAGGCTATATTTGTGTTTTATTTTGACTTTTGAGAGAGCAAAGCCACAATCTATTAAGTGTTCGTCAATTTTCAACTCTGGATGTACTCTCCCTCTGCGTGTGTGTGTTTTTTTCTTTTGTTTTTCGATGGGCAACTCTGCATGTACTCCCAATTTTTACTGTTGAGATTAACTTTGTAATGCAGTATATATATTTTTTGTTCAAGACAGTTGACGAAAATATGATTGGAATGCTTACTGGTTGTTTGCAAAAGAAATAAAATAAACAAATAAAACTAATCAACGATTAATCAAGAGCTAAATTAATCTGCATTAATTTCTAAATGAACTACTCCAATAAAAATGTTCCCTAGGGTGCTGTACCACTTTCCACGTTGGATTTTTTCTGTTCAGGTGGCATTCAATCCCTACCTTTTGGAACACGTGGAAAGCTTCTTTCCCTAGATTCTACCAAGAAAACCCAAGGGAACCAATTTGTTCCCGTAGAATGCTTCTCTAGGGGGCCATTCCCTAGGGTTCACTCTAGAGAAACCCGATCCCTAGAGTATTTTGGCTGTTCCCTAGAGTTTTTGGCTCTAGGGATACTTGTGAATTCTAGTAGTGACATAGGCATGTTTAGTTTGCGAAAACAAAATTTTTGGGTATCACATCGGATGTTTGACCGGATGTTGGAAGGGGTTTTCGGACATGAATGGAAAAACTAATTTCATAACTTGCCTGGAAACCGCGAGACGAATCTTTTGAGCCTAATTAATCCGTCATTAGCATATGTGGGTTATTGTAGCACTTACGGTTAATCATGGACTAATTAGGCTTAAAAGATTCATCTCGCGATTTCTCCCTAACTGTGCAATTAGTTTCTTTTTTAATTTATATTTAATGCTCTATGCATATATTCAAAGATTTGATGTGATATTTTTGAAAATTTTTTTTGAGGAACTGAACTAGGCCATAGACGGTTTGCAAACTCCTCGTAACGGGTCGATAGTAGCAGAACACACACCAAATTATGTTTGGGCGTGTTTAGTTCATGAAAAAAGTTGGAAGTTTGAAGAAAGTTGGGAGTTTAGAAAAAAAAAGTTAGAAGTTTATATGTGTAAAAAAGTTTTTGATGTGATATGATATGATGGAAAGTTGGGAATAGGGGGGAAACTAAACATGGCCTTTGTCGTTGGGTCTACAAAGAGAGTGTTCACGTATATACGAGTTCATGTGTACGTAGTGTACGTGTGGTCCTTTTCCTTACGATGTGTGTGTGCATACAGACAAGATTTTGTAATCATCGATCATGATTAATCAAGATCAGCATTGTGTGCAGCTAGCAGTAAAACATACTACCATCTTTGATATCGACTGCCATGGTTCAGTTACTTGTAGATTTTGCCATTACAGGTTAATTACTCACAATAACATCGCTACAATTTCAGAATGAATTGCTGATCATCTCCACACACATGTCACTGTCACAGCAGTGCACTAAGTCGACCAAAAAATAATTAGGGAGCATGTCAAGCAGATTTAGAAAGATCGAGTGGCCAGTCAGTCAGTCAGTTGGATTGACCTCAAAGTCCTGCTAGATGTATTAGCACCCATGCATGATGGTTTCTAATTAGTTCCACCATATTTGTCTCGTAGTTTCAAAGGCTGCACCTTTACGGCTTTACCCAGTTTCCTACTAACCATAATTATTATAGAGATCTCAACAAACTACAATCCAAAAGGATCCCATCAACTCCTAATAAGGCCCATTTATTTTTCTCAACTTTAAACTTCAACTTTCTCGTTTATTGTTAGTGTGCTTTTTAAAGGTTAAATATGCGTTTTTGGCAAAAAAAAAAAAGTTCTATGTAGAAGCTGTTTTTTTAAATCAAATAAATCTATTTTTCAATTTTATAATAGTTAATACTTAATTGATCGTGTGTTAAATAAGTTTTCTCGTTTTATGTGTGCTGAAAATATCCTCTGGTCAAAGTAAACGAACGGGGCCTAAAACATACTACTAGTACTATATACACATGAGGTGCTTTTTTTTTTTCAGTGAAAGTCCATCGTACATTATTCACAAATTCCGTTGAGTCTCTCCGCACGAAATTCGGAGCTACCCTAAACCGCTTGGTTTGTGTTGAATTTTGAAAAAAATTAATTAAACTTCGTGAAACTCTTCATCACGTTGGAGGCTCACATCTTAAATAAACTAGGGTATACCGGTACATTAAAACGGGATGTGTCAATGGTTTTTACAGGAGGGCTAATGGTTGTCCGTAATGTTCTTTTTTTTTTCTACTGGTCCCATTTCCCCCCCTAAAGGGCGGTTGTTTGGTGTTTTTTTCTGAATTTTTGGAGGATGGATGATTGCGCTTTTTAAATAGTAGAGAAATGATATTGTAAATTAATCTGGAATGAATCGAAGAGCAGGAAGAGGTGAAAAGGAAAAGGAATAGCAAAATGTGGGATGAGTTGCCACATTTTCAGTCGGTTTAGGTTACCTCGGAGTAGTGGGCAGCATATGTTTTGCATGCATGGTGTGAAGGCATGGGGGGATTGGATTGGATTTGGGGGCGGCTTAAAACTGGATGGGCCCTTGACTTGGAGAAGACCTCCTCTGCTCCTCCTTGTCTGTGTGTGCGTGCCCTAATCAGATCCCAAGGAAAGGAATCGTCATGCTTTCTTCTCGGGGGTGCTCCCGCCTACGAGCATGATTTGCTGCGTGCGCACATATTGGAGTACACCAGTGGAGTACCTTCTTTCGTGGGAGTACTACGACTTCACTTTTCCGTATTGTAACGATAAGAGCGTATTCGGATTAAAGGGTTTATTACACGGGATTTTTTTTAGATTAATGATTCCTTTGATTTTTCTACCGTTGATGTGTTCGGATTGTAAGAATCACACAAAGGAATTTTAGAGGAATATTGTAGCATTCCCGTAAACACACACAGGAATTCTAAACATCCACTCCAACCTCTCTCTTTCTTTTTTATCATTGGCTATTATAGGATAAAATCATGTGTTCTAATGCTCTATTTTCTATTCCTGTGTTCTGAAAATTCGATCCTATATATTCCTCTGTTTTTCTTATCCTCCATTTCCACGTGCAACCATATCATATTCTTACGTTTTTTTTCTATTCCGGTTCCTTTTCTATAATTTGTTTCGTACAAGCCCTAAGTATAGTTTCCTAGATATCATCTACTCATTAATTAAGATATATAATATATAGTACAAAATTTATCTCTACCACGCTTGCCCCAATACAACATATATAATAATTTTATTTTGATCGTTTGATCTTAATCTGTTGATCATTTTCTTTCATCTCTCTTGAAATAAAGGTTTATCCTTTACATGAGGGGTTGGCTTTACTTCTCTCTTTTACCTCATCACATAATTGCAAGTGGTATTTTTTATAGGTAACACCTAATGCTTAAAGTAATTACTCTTATAGTGCTTGCTCTAAGTTGTTTGGTATGTACTAACTCAAAAATTTTAACTTCCACTTAGTTAATAGAAAAATATATTAACATATATGAAACCAGTGAAATATGCTATTAAAACACATTTTTGGTGGGTTTAATAAAACTATTTTGATGTTGCATGTTGCAAATGGCAGTGTATTTTTTAACGAACTTAATCAAAATTAGAGAAGCCTGACTTGTAACAAACCAAAACATCTTACAATATAAATAGTGTGAATAGAGAGTATAATATGGCTGATTTATGGTATAAATTCAATATGATAAGTGTAGAAAAATGGCTATATATTTTTCACCGAACAAATCTAGACTGATTTTATGCTTTATCAATTGAGGCTATATATGGAGATGCTCTATTAGATCTAGCTCAATTTTCAAGGTTCGAGGCTTGGCCATAGACAACACAATGAACTATTCTCAATGGAAAACGAGCATTACAATTGATCCATATGATACTAGCCTATATGCTCTCAAATGAGCATCACATGTAGCATGCCTATCAGACAGTCGTAAAAATGCAAGAGTATCTCATAACAAAATACAAAGATATTTGAGGCTACATCGGCATATCTTTTTTCTCCTTGCATGAGAAAAGAAAAAAAGACGGATACTAGCTAGGTAGAAGAAGTACTCATCTAGTCCTTCCACTGAAAATGATCGAGCATCGACAGATACGCTCCAACAACAGCATCCGGTACTCTTTTCAGTTTCGGCCGAGTTTAATTCTAAAATTTTTCTTCAAACTTTCAACTTTTCCATCACATCAAAATTTTCCTACACATACAAACTTCTAACTTTTTTGTCACATCATTTCAATTTTAACAAAATTTCTAATTTTAGCGTGAACTAAACACACCCTGCGTGTACACAAGCTGCGGTACGCATAGCAGAGGATCCGTAGGCAATGCTATCAGCGTGGAGATGGGACAATAAAAGCACGTACTTTTCAACGTGCGCCAGTGTGTGATTTGACTTTTGAAGTGTTGTGTTTCTCTCCCCCTCTCTCTCTATTTGTATCGTGGGCTCCCCCGCTGCTGCCCACACGCATCCAGACTTTTCTTTTCTTTTCTCTTTCTTTCGTTTGCTTTCTTTCTCTTCGTCAGAAATTCAGAGAATTCAGACATTATTGCATGAACACTCTCTGAAATCAGGCAGGCACGATATCCGAGGCGAGAAAAGAAATCCAGCTCAGCGTTTTCTACTGTACTCCTGTGCAATGTAGGAGGAGCTAGCTCGGAGAAAACAAAGGACGAGGCTACCTCTATTTCAAAATATACTTAAAATATGTACTCGCTAATTTTAATATAATAATTTATTTTAAAATAAAGTTATTTTTCCACCTATCTCACTTCTCTTACCCAATTAAAATCATTCTTTATTTAATTTTTTTATCTACTTTATTTTCTAATCAATCATAAACTTTCTTAAATTATTTTTATCTCAAGATTTTTTTCGTGCTATAAATGCTTATATTCTGGAAAAAAAAGTCAGTAGCGTTCAGACTTTAGGCTCGAGAAAAAGGAGGAGAGAATCTATCTGCACACTCTCTCGTCTCAACTCTGTCAGCGTGATGGACGGAGGCATGCAGGCAATGCAGCTTTTAAAACTGAAACAATTAGAGTCGCAAAACCATCATCCAATTTTCACCTATAATCACCTTTAGATATACATTAACACAGTGGTCACTGATTGCAGAGTTTTGCAGCTACAAGCACCGTAGAAAATCAACAAGGTGAGTTACTGTCGTTCTGTCAACTACTGGAGTAGCTTCTACTGCTGCCGATCGAGCTGAATAATCAAGTGGCCATCGAGACTAATTAAACATAACCAAGCTATGATATACTATCAATATGATAATCTCAACAAGGCTAGAAGGAGAGGCTGAGAGCAGAACAGATGCAGAAAACAACAAAACACAAGCTACACTTAATTAACACTATACAAACAGACATCATATGGACCTACTTAGCTTAGTTTTTTTTTGTGATTAAACACCTTTTTCTTGGGCCTACTTAGCTACTCCCTCTATCCTATAATATAAGGGATTTTAAGTTTTTGTTTCAATTGTTTGACCACTCGTTTTATTTAAAAAATTTGTGCAAATATAAAAAACGAAAAGTTGTATTTAAAGTACTTTGGATAATAAAGTAAGTCATAAAAAATAAATAATAATTCCAAATTTTTTTAATAAGACAAGTGGTCAAACAGTGCAAATAAAAACTTAAAATCCCTTATATTAGAGGACGGAGGGAGTAGTTTTTTAGTGATTAATTAATGAGGAGTCTTTTTTGTTCATGCATGCATGCGCTTGTTCTTGAGTGCACGCAGGAATGTACACGGGCGTCTGTCATGGGCGATTGGATGGACATGGGAGCAGAGAAAGCGTCCTGCATCTGCATGCAATGTCTGAATCTGAATTCATACTAGACGCTGACAAAGTGACAGCATGGCTTTTTCCATAGAAAAAAGGTGTGGCCTTTTTTTTTTTTGGTAAGGGAGATTAAAAAAAGTGACTTTGATGTTGCCATTGCAATGATCAGGAGGAGCATGTTCAGTACACGGTTGTCACTTGTGCGAGGTGACAGAATTCGATAAACAACTCTGATTAGGGGATTGGTATTTAGTGCACGTGTGTTTTCAGCCTATTTTAAGAAGTTTTATACGATAATTTATATGTAAAAATTTTCATATAAAAAAAGCATGCAATGGGATCCGGTGTACACCTGTCCTAGAATAAGTTAATTTAGTACTATAAATATGGACATAGTGTTAGGATATACTGTATCATATTTCGTATTCTCTCTATCCCAGAAAAAACTCAATTTTAGAGATGAATGTGGATACAAATGTATCCCGATTCATCTTTAAAATTAGAATTTTTTTTGGACGGAGGGAGTACGGATTAACTTATTGGATATTCTGGGACGATTCTGGGATGGAAGTAACAGTTTCGATCAGATTAAGCAAGGTTGATATACTACTTTCGTCCCAAATTAGTAGTCGCTTTGACTTTTTTTCTTATAGCGTTTGACCATTCGTTTTATTTAAAAAATTAGTGCAAATATAAAAATAGAGAAGTCATACTTAAAGTACTTTCGATAATAAAACAAATCACAAACAAAATAAATAATAATTCCATAATTTTTTAAATAAGACAAAAGATCAAAAATTAAAAAAAACTCAAAGCAACAAGTATTAGAGGCAGTAAAAAGAACAAGAAAAATGGTGCTTTCAGGTCAGCAACTAAAGGCCTGTAAATGTTCCCGTGTGGCCCGGCCCATCAACAAAGCCCATTATCCGGGCCTTCAAAAAAACTCCTGTAAAATTGGCCCGCTTAAATTCTCTCTTTTTTCAATAGTGCAACCGAGAAACATGCATGAACTGATCCTCAGTACATTCTCTTCAAAAAAAATATTTCCCCAACATTTGAAAACGCAATTAATTCGATGATGACAAATAATAGAATGCATGCTACCACTTGTATAGATATTTTAGCACTGAAGATTTTTTAGCAGCAGCAGCAGCAGTTGCTCATCACATACGCTTTGGATTGAGTCGATATGTACATACACTTATGACAGCAGCGTATTCGCCGCCACCGCCGCCGCCGCCGGCGGCGATGGCGACGACGGCGGCGACGGCGGAGGAAGAGGAGATGATCAGTTGGTATTGCGAGCGCATCGGGTGATGGCAGAGCAGCCGCGGCGGTAGGGGTTGGCGGCCTTCTGCGAGGCGCAGTTCTGGTAGTAGGACTGGCCGCGCTTGTTGCACGGCACCTTGTTGGCGTCCAGCGCCGCGTAGCTCACGTACCTGTTCGTCGGCCGCCGCGCCGCCAGCGACCGCCGCATCAGCGTCTCCCCGGAGGCGGCGCCCGCCGCCCCCATCAGCGCCATCTCCTCCACCTCCTCCTCGTCGTCCACGTCGCACTCCCCCACGGCGCCGTCGCACGTCGCCGCCGCCGCCGCCATCTTCCTCCGCCCCGACGCCGACGCCACCACGCCGCCCATGTCGTCGGCGGCCGCGGCCGGGAGCAAGGCCACCGCCGCCATGACGACGAGCGCGATCAGCACGGGCACGCCGCGGAGGAGAGGCGGCGCCATGCCTGTGATCACCTGAGCGTTCGGTGTGTTTCTTGGGCGCCGGCGACTGGGATTCTTCCGATCGATGGATACGAGTAGGACGAACGAACGATCGATCTCCCTCCGCGCGCGATGTACGCGAGCCTACCCTGATGAAATCTTGGTTGGCTTTGAAGGAGGAGGGAGACGAGGAGGCGGCGGAGAAGATGGAGGGGATAAGGAGGAGAGGCGGCGGGATGGAGGGGAGGGGAGACGAACCAGGGCGGCCGCACGCTGGGGTGGCCGGTGCCGCCGCGACGCGCGGCGGCGGTCTCTGCCATGCATGCCTCGACCTGGGAGAGAGCTACGGCGCGGACGTCCGATATTGCACCAAATATCGGATGGTTGCCCTGTTGCTTCGCGCATGTGCATTTGGATGCTTGCTGCGTTGCTTTGTCTTTATTTGTTACATGCAGGTCAGTGACGTGCTATCTCACTACTATGTCTCCAATTCCTTTTCATACTACACGTCCTTGCTTTTTATGTGTTTTAAACTACTTTTTCTCCTAAAATACATATGCAAGATATGATTCCATTACATATTTACATTCGTTATAATTAAATCTTTGTGACAAGATCTCACATAGTTATATTTCGACAAACACATATACACATACCACGTGTGTCAAAAAAAATTCATTGTTTCACTACTTATAAAAATGTTTCATCACCTATGTAAAAATGTTTCAGCGCACTTCATGAAACGTTTCAGTGAAATACAATATATAAAAAAATTATTGACTGCAACAATTATAAACAGTACACAAGACATTAACTATCAATGAAACATAAACAAAATCATACAAAGCATACAACATATATATTTGGCATATACTTAATTTTATTGAAATATTTTTAAATCAGTTGTCATTGTTGATAAAAAAATATAGTATTTGCTGAAACACCCAAAAGAATACCATGTGCAACATTTACAAATGAAATAGTGCAACATAATAATATATATGAAACATTTTTATATTATATATGAAACAATTTTATATTATAGTAACTGTTGAAACACCACAAAATGCCTACTAAAACATCACAAAGTACCTGGTATAACATCAAAATAATACCATGTGCAACACTTTAAAATGACCTAGTGAAACATTAGCTGAAACATCACGGAATACCTCCTGTGAATTAGTGTTCGAAGGCTAATTTTGGGACGGGCCCATTACACGATGGGCTTTATTTATCACTGGAGGAAATGGGCTTCACCATTTTGGGCCTTAATGGGCCTCAATCTTGTGTGTATTCGACCAGTTACATATTCATATTGGACCTCATTTTTTGTTGGGTCTAGCTATACAATCGGTGACAAATTTTCTCCTAAATATTTATGAAATATAAATATAGCGCATTGTAGTTATATTGTAACTTACATAACTACATTACAATTTGTATGTAATATATTATTTTTGCAAAGCGCAGGTCGGACAGATTCTCCTCATCTCTATGTGTGCTATACTTTTTTTTCTTCCCAACTTGTACAAATCTTGAAGTAAATCTAACGGTTTAAAATTATACTTAAGTTATATACAAGTTACATTGTAGTTAGATACAAGTTATAATATAATTACATTATAATCATACTGTATTTACATCTGACAGAAAATTTGTCCACAAATATATAACATAATCATTTTTTATGATCCAATACATTAATAAGCAAATATTTAGTAGTACTACGGTGAAACATGCAGTCACAAATTAAGTGAGTGCTATGGATTATGGATATTATGGAATTTAAGGGAATATGGGTTTTTAGTGTTCATGTCAATTAATTATCGAGGAAACTCCTACAGTACTATTTTGGAGGATAAACGGCAACTTTACGTTAAAATGGAAGAAAATTAAAGAGATGTTAAATCGGATTGAATGTATATGAATTAATTAAGATTTACTACCAGCTACTTGCCCTACTTGACGGATTTACAGATCAGGCAGACGTAAAGATTGATCGAGCAAAAACGCATAAACAACATTTCTTTAATGCAATTACCTATGAATCAAAACATTACACATATATCTCCACTTGCTACAGATGAGAGATTAATTTTGACGACTAAGCAAAGCAACAATCTGAATTATTTTGGCCCGATGATCAAATCCTACCGAATTCAAACGCAAACTGACACGAATTACCAACAAAAACAAAAACACAATGCATGCAAAAAAGGAAACATAATTTGCAACTAGCTAGGCTAGACCGTTCGACCAACAAATCAAACGAGAGCCATTGCTCCGGCTGTCGCGACGACGAGCAGCATCAGCAAGGCACCACCCCTCACTGATGGCGCCGACGACGGCCGCGGCGGCGGCGCCGCCGTCCCGTTCGTCCCCGGCGCCGGCGCCGTGAAGTTCATCCCTCCAGCCGGAGACGGCGCCGTGAAGTTTCCCCCAGCCGGAGGAGGTGGCGGCGGCGGCGGCGAGCCTGCAGGGGCCGGTGCTGGAACGGGTGGCGACGGCGCCCTCGCCGTGCCGTTCGTTCCCGCGGCCGGCGGCGGCGGAGACGGGCGTGGGGTGGGGGCCGCCGGAACGGTTGGCGGCGGCGGCGGCGAGGGGGTGGTAGGCGTGGCGGTTGCGTTGCCGCGGACGGCGAGGACGACGACGATGAGGCGCTCGCCGGCCTGGCAGCGGGCGGGGTCGCCGCTGATGAAGAAGAAGGGGCCGGAGCTGTCGAAGACGAAGGTGGAGTCGCCGCCGGCGTCGCGGAGGAGCGGGTCGGTGGCGTTGCAGCCGTCGTAGTGGCCCTGGCTCACCACCACCACCGAGTCCTCCTTGTTATACCTAAACACTGCAATAACCGTAAACGCGCCAAATTTAACAAAAAATTCCGACAGGGTCGATCGACACGAACACACAAACGAACACGCACGCCGCCGGCGAGATCGATCGCCGGAATATTCGGGCGAATCCGCGTACGTACCGAGGCGGTCGTTGACCTGGAAGCGGTTGCGCTCCGCCCACCGGTTGTACGGCTCGGCGGGGTTGGTCGTCCACCCGTCGCGCCCTCCCACGTAGAAGTCGCGCGCCTCGCAGCAGCTCGCCGCCGCAAGAACCACGACGGCGGCGGCGACGGCCGCCGCCGCCGCAGCCACGCCGGCGACACGCCGCGTCATTGCCTTTCCACTACGCGTACGCTTCTACTAGTAGCTAGCTAGCTAGTACACCACTACACACGCCGGACTAGAGAGAGAGAGAGAGATCTATGGTGGATTAGCTGCTTGATCCGTGTAGAGAAGACGAAGCGTCCGCGAGTGAGGTGAGGAGAGAGACACGATCGAACTAAGGAGTGCGTGATCGTGTTGTCGTGTATATATACACAAGAATGTTTGTAGGTTACCGTTGGATCAATGAATTCGTGGTGGAGCAATTAGCTGTGACAGCCGTTTCAAGCTACTGGGTAAAGCTGTCATGGAGGAGTTACACACACCATTCCTTGGTGAGGGGGGTTTTGCCTATGGAAGGCTGTAAATGTACCAGTAGCATCCTAGGAGTATATTCGATTTGTTCAATGGAATTGTTTTAACTTCATTTGACAAAAAATTGTGGCGGCGGTGGTGGCGGCGGAGGAGTGGCGGCGTGGGGGAGGGATCGAAGGTGGGGGTGGGAATTAGGGTTGCGAGAGTATCACGAATCTCAAAGCTGATCCAATGGTTTAAGTAAATATAAGATGTGGGGTGGGCTTTTTGTCACGTGTTATCTAGGGTTTGTTCGAGGCAGGCTGGCGGCCTCACTCCCCTTCGTTCGGTACAAAGGCTGGTGGAAAGGACGAAGCCAGAGCCATGAGCACCCATTTGGCGAATACCCATGAAGATGGTGATGGCTAAGCCCATTAAAATGGCCGAGACCATCTTGTAGCCGGCCTACCAGGCGATCTTCAGAGCAAGGCCCTATATAGAGTAGACCAAGGCCTGTTAAGACTTAACATAAGTCCAATAAAACCAATGAGACATGAGAGTACTATGACATTCTTATAACTGTCCCCATCAAAGAGTAAACATATAAAAGCATATGTAAAACCTAATCTTATGGCTATCAATAGACCTCTATGGGGACATTATAAGGGCTTTGAGAATCAATACGGACATTTTTCTTCTTTGTTTACACTTGAGAACTACTATTGGTTTATGTTACAACAGGGGTCCCTTTGTTCGAATAAATTACAAATTCTAACATATGGAATCTTGGTAAGTAATAGACCAAACATGTTTTTGCTATAGTTACTCCATCAAATTTTGGTAACTTTAGAAATTCACACTCTAATTAACTCCACCAAAATTTACTAGGACTTAGAACCAAATCGTATCATCGATATCTTTTACCTTACGAAATTTTGATATTACCATTGATTCATGCAACATATCAAACAACCTAGTAAGTACACCATATGCTAGGGCTTGAAAACTTGTAAAAGCTCCCTGGTGTCAAAGATTGGCTCGATTACCAAAACAAGCTAGGGCAGAAGCTTGGCTCGGCTATAGTTTATTGGCTTCAATTGGCTCGCGAGGGTTCGAAAGCCTCTGCCAAAAGAAGGCAAGGGAATGAACTAGAGCAGCCAATAACCGGGAGGAGGAGGAGCTAAAGGAACATGCGGTACCACATCCTCCTCGACTGTGTGTTTGCTCATCAGGTCTGACTCCATGTGCTGTCGCCGCCTAGCTGGGCTGCCCTCTCTCCCCCCGTGGCAGCTAGTTCTAGGACTGGTGGCCATCCTCCAGGGCCTGCTTACCTGAGCATCTCCGCGCTGGCCGGCTTCGACTCCCTGGTGTTCCTAGTCTCTTGGCAGCTGTGGAAGGAACGGAACTCTAGGGTTTTCGACTCTGCGCTCTCTTCGGTCTCAGTGGTTCTGGAGTCCATCCACTCAGAGGGCCATTTGTGGTCTTTAGCTGGCATTGCCACTTTTGGGGACTTGTTGGGAGTACAACATGGCTCGGCCCCTTTCCGCTGCTTGGAGTTTGTGTTTAGCCGTCATAGTTTTTTAAGCTTCAGCTTCTTGGAAAAAGTACAAATTACCCCCCTGAAGTATTGGGTGAGTATGAATTACCCCCTAAAACCCAAAAACCAGACATTTTTCACCCTCAACTATCGATACCAGATGAAAAACTCCCCCGAGCAACTTTGCAAGCGGTTTTGGTCTACGTGGCAGTCCAGTCAGCAATTTTTTTTATTAAAAAAACAATAGGGCCCACCTGTCAGATATTTCTTCTCTCTATCTCTTTCCCTCTCACCCCCCTCTCTCTCATCAGATGCTGGTGCCTACGGCTCGCGTGCCGGCGGCAGCGAGCGCCTCCTCCGTCGCCCAAGCTCCGCCGGCCGCCGCCCTTGGCTCGTTCCGCCGCCTTCTCCACCTCCTCGAGCGTCACTGGCTGCAGGCGTCCCCAACATTGCCTTGACGAGCCGCGCGCTGTCGGCTACAGGCACCCCCACCACCACCTCGAGCTCCATCCTCCGCCGTCCCCTCCACTGCCTCCTCCTCCCGCCGCTTCGAGCTCCGCCGTCCCCTTCACTACCCCTCCTCCCGCCGCTTCAAGCTCCTCCGCACCCTCCACTGCCTCCTCCTCCCACCGCCCGAGCTCCGCCCATCGCCGTCCTCTGCTTGCTCCGCTGCCCCCTCTACCTCCCTAAGCGTCACTGGCTGTGGGCGTCCCCTCCGTTGCCTCGACGAGCCGCTCGCCGCCAGCTGCGGGCGCCCACTCCGCCGCCCCCTCCTCCCGCCGCCCCCTCTGCTGCCCCCTCCTCCGCCGCCTCGAGCTCTGCTGCCCCTCGCCCCTAAGCTCCGCTCACCATCGTCCTGAGCACCAGTGGCTGCGGGTGGTCTCTTCGTCGCTGCCCACTCCGCCCTCACCGCCGTCCTATGCGCCGGTGGCTGCGTGCGCCGTCTTCACCGCCGCCCACTCCGCCCGCCATCGTCTGAGCTCCTCCCGCTGTCCCGAGCTCCACCGCTCCAAGCTCTGCTCGCCGCCGTCCTCAAGGTGAGGGAGGGAGAGAAGAGAGAGAGAGAGAGAGAGAGTGGTGAGGAGTAAAAGAGAGGGTGAGAGACTAACATGTGGGGCTCGCTGATTTAAAAAGAAAAGAATTGCTAACTGGGCAGCCACGTATACCAAAACCGCTTGCAAAGCTGTTCGGGGGGGGGGGGGGGGTTTCATCCGATATCGATAGTTGAGGGTGAAAAATTACTGGTCTTCAGGTTTAGGGGGGTAATTCGTACTCACCCAATACTTCAGGGGGTAATTCGTACTTTTTCCTTTGTTTTTTCCCCTTCCCTTGGCGTAAGCCGGTCTGGCTAATTGCGTCGTGTAACTATAACTCTTTTCTTCTAATATATTGGCGTGCAATCCTTTTACGCGCTCGCGAAAAAAGAAACCTACGGTATCCAAGGAATGAGCTAGAGGAGATAGGGATAAACTAAAGGAGCCTAGGGGAGGAGCTCCATCGCAAGGCCCTCGCACCAAGCTTAACGAGCCCAGCACACAAAGTTTGGGCTCGGCTCGTTTGGTTTATGAGCTTAGTGGCACCGAGCTCAAGCCTGAGCTAGCAGGCCTGACCTTCTCCCAAGAACCAAGGCTGTTTCTTTCCCTACTAGTTTGGGCCAGGCCAATCCAAACTGAGATGTATGGTAAATTAACCCTATTTACATGGCCCATATGTTTGACAAAGAACCTATATATTGAGTTCAGAGAATTGGTAGTAGCCGGGCCCATCACCCTAGCTAATTACTACGGAGTACGTACGTACTTCCTCCGTTTACATCAATATTAATGTAGAAAATGCTAGAATGACTTACATTATGAAACGGAGAAAGTAACAAGTATGGCAGCTGACTTGGCTAATTGGTGACAGATGAGGCGCTCGCCGGTCGAAGAAGGCACCGGAGTAGGCGAGGACGAAGGTGGAGTCGCGGGTGGCGTCGGTGTCGACGTTGCTGCAGGCGTCGTTGATCGTAGTGGCTCTGGCGTCATTATTTTCCTTTCACTACGTGATTGCCTGCCTGCCTGATTAATTGTTGTGTTAATTTGGTGATTCCGGCCCCTTGCGTAGAAGCGCATAATGATAATGATCTCTGAAGGTTATATGTGTAGGGTTCTATATGTGTCGCCGAAAGGCAAAGAATTTCGAAATTTTCAGAATATTTCGGCCTCAATAAGTTTGCATTTTGGACCCCTTTTTCCCCAGATTTGAATTTCTTTTGGTAAAATTGGAAAATTTCAGGAGAAATTAAAGTTTCCCATCAAGCTCATGAGAACTGGAGACTGCAGGTCCGAGCTCTGTCCCCTCTTAATCATATTAGATACTTCTACGAGTCCCGATCACTTGGGTAAAAGAATCTATGTTTAAGTCGTAGCCTAACATATCGATAACTATGTGTTCTAGTTGCTCTGTTCCTCTTGTCCACATGAGAAGTGTTATTATGTCAAATCGAGATTGTGTGGGTGTTCAATCTACCGCTCATGTTCAGATTCTCGAAATCAGTCTCGTTGGAAAAACCAATGCCAACCCCCAAACAAGTCTCTCCAATATAAGGAGAGCGGAGCTTAAAATGATATATTACGTATGATGCGACTTAGTTCAATGAATATGACAAGGATAGTACAAATAATGTATGTGTTGAAGGTGGGGGCCAACGCTATGTGGGTTAAGTGCAAAGGTCTCAATGTCATTTAGTTTTTGGCAGCTGTAGCTTCTATCAAAATTAGAAGCTCACTAAAATAATCAGTGTTTCGTCTACAGTTTCAAAAGATATAGATGTACTATTCAGAAAATGAACTAGAAGGCATAAGCTGAAAAAATAGTCTTTTCATATTACCAAAGATGGCTACTAACAAGCTGTTTCTCGTAATCTTACTCTCCTAAATAGACATTTCTTAACTTCTCACATTTGACATATGGGTTTCAATAGTCAACCACTTATGATAAAATCACCATCGAAACTGTTTGGGACATAAATATGAATCAATATTGGTAATAACTAAGAAAACGTTGTGTAATATGGACTTTTTCCTCTAACCGGAGGGCATCTTTGCACGGGGAAAAATGGCCCAGAATTCACTCGTATCGTACGACACTTCGAGCGATACTTATCCGGCCCTATAATGGTTCACGTACGGTCAATTTCAATTCACCTCCACCGAACCAGTCCAAGACAATTTAATTTATGACTGCAGTTGAATAGTATAACACGAAAAAATAAATCCAGAAGAAATATTCACCAGCAGTAACCATGTAAGGATAAGCTCACTTCCTTCATTTGCCACCGATCGAATTTGAAACAGCAAAAAAAAAAAAACTTAAACACGAGAGTGATTACACATGATTTTACACGCATAAACACACCAACCACACGTACACAACCAGACCATCACCATCAAATCAACCACACAACTAATTTAACACACGTACTTTTTAATTTTCCCGCCTAATTAAACAATTAAGCCATGCATGCATGCACGGATGCGTACGTTGCGTACGTCGTCGTCGTCGTCTACGCGCGGCCGCCCTCGTTGGCCTTCTTGAACGCCGCCGCCTGCGCCGCGGCGGCGCCGTCGGAGCCTCCCCCCGCCGCCGCCGCGAACGCGTCCCTCACCTGCTCGGCCGTGTAGGGGAAGCCGGAGCGGGTCATCGAGTTGAGCAGCGCGGCGGCGCCCTCCCGCATCAGCTCGCCGGCGCCGTCGCCGCGGGTGTTGGCCAGCGCGTCCTGGATGCTCATCCCCGTTCCAGCGCCGCCGGAGCCGGAGCCGAAGAAGTGGCCCACCGAGCTCGGCCACCGCCCCAGCGCCGACCACATCTCCATCGGATGCGACCTCCAGTAGCTGCACGCATGGAGGGGCCCCACTCGTCAGCGACTAAATTAGCAACGAAATTTAATGGAGTATTTTTTTTGTGAGGTGCCACGTGGCTTACTCGCATGTCCCGGGGGTGGTGGGGATGAGGCCGTGGCCGTCGTGCGACGCCGGTGTCGCCGGAGCTCCGCCGCCGCCGTACGCGCCGCCACCGTGGGACGGCGTCGGGGAGGAGCCGCCGCCAGAAGGCGTGGAAGGGGAGCTCCCGTAGGCGCCGCCACCGTGGGACGGCGCCGGGGAGCCGCCGCCGTAGCCGCCGCCAGGGGAGGGCGTCACCGGCGGGGAAGCCCCGTACCCTCCTCCGTGGGACGGCGCCGCGCCGCCGTGGGACGGGGAAGGCAACGCGCCCCCGGAGGGGCCGCCGCCGTGCGACGGCGTGGTCCCGGATGAGCCGCCGCCGCCGTGGTGGCCCGGGATCGGCGTCGGAGTCGTGGTGCCGCCGTGGCCGGGGAACGAGCGCGGGTCGAACGCCGGCACGCAGTCCGGCTTCTTGACACCATCCTCTGTAATCGAACAACACACATTACCACTCAAACCAACCATGGAAGAATGCAAGCTCTCTACGCCATGAACGTGCGTACCTGCTTGGGTGGTGGTCGTCTTCTCCACGGGGGTGGTCCTGGACTCGGCCACGGGGACGAAGGCGGCGGCCATGGCGAACGCGGCGAGCAGGAAGGCGCAACCCATGGTGGTGTTCTTCATCCTTGCTGCCGCCATGGGGGGTGGTGGTGGTGGAGTGAAGCGTGGGAAGGACAGCGCGGCTATAAATAGCGGGGGAGGGGGAAACAACAGAGTGGCTAGCTAGCTGGCGCCATGGGAATTGATGGTGAGCTTAAATTGAGGTCGCAGATGACACAGCGGGTGGTTGGGGAGGGCATTCATTGCTGCCTCTCTCTTCTCTCTTTGCATCCAAGAGAAGCTAGCCATGGTCAAGCTAGCTAGCAATACCTAGCTGGACTCGTCTGTGCTCATCTTCTCCTATGGCTTTAACTTCTTTGCTTCTTGAGGCCAAGCTCTCATTTTGTTCAGCCTTTTCTCCTCTTCGTGTATGCGTCCATTTCCATGAGTTGTCAATTTTGAGCAAGACTGGTCTTCTACTGGTCACATTGACCAAATTAAGCACGCTTGAACACCATGCTAGCTCGGTCCCATGGAGTCTTGATCTAGTAAGGCACAACCGCGCACAACTAAGGCCTGGTTTAGTTCCTTAAATTTTTTCCTAAAAAACATCACATTAATTTTTGGACACATTCAAGGAGCACTAAATATAGATTAAAAAAACTAATTGCACATTTAGAGGGGAAATCGTGAGAAGAATCTTTTGAGTCTAATTAGTTTATGATTAGCTATAAGTGTTACAGTAACCCACATGTGCTAATGATGGATTAATTAGGCTCAAAAGATTCGTCTCGCGGTTTCCAGGCGAGTTATGAAATTAGTTTTTTCGTTCATGTCCGAAAACCCCTTCCGACATCCGGTCAAACATCCGATGTGACACAAAAAATTTTTCTTTTCATGAACTAAACAAAGCCCTCAATTAGAGCTGCAACCGTTCGTAACCCTTGTATATGTGACGGGTGGTGGGTATTTGATCATAGGAGAATGATCGCTTATGTGAAAAACTCACCTGTGTCATGTCCCTATCAGTCGATACTAATAGTTATCCGTGACGGGTGATAATAAACCAGTTTAGACGTGGAGATCGGATTTTAGTCCATTTTTCTAAATAAAAAACAGAGTTGCTTTAGTTTTCAGTTATATATGTATTTCACTACAGAATCTGTCAAATTACATCCAATTCTTCGGACTGAAATATCAATCCACCTATACATATGTTGACTGATGCTTACACAAAATACGTCCCTCCATTTCAAAATATAATATTTTTAGATTTCAAATTTGTATGGCACTATAAATACTTCAGAGGCATTGATTCTAATGCACGGAAATCAATACATTTTTCGCCAATTAGGTGCTTGGTAGGGAAATCTAAGAAATTTAAACATTCAAATTTGGATCACTCAAGTGATTGAAATGGAAATTTTTTTCCATTTCTCAACCCCTAGTGTTTGCTAAATAACCTAGAGACATTTAATTATAAGAGAAATTGTAGCTGTCAGAAGCTCTATAAATAGACCGTGTAGAAATGCTTATATTTTGTTATTGGGGGAGTATTAACTGCATTACACTACTGAAATGGCTGTCCTAAGTTAGCAAATTAAGTAGGAGTTTCATTGATCCTGCAGATCGACAGCAAGTTGACGTTCCTGTGTGCTGGTCGTGAGATCTTGATGACTTGGCGTCGCCATCGGTCTGTACTAGAAGAGCCACCATGAGCCATTGATGCAGATCAAGTTAATGAAGGTTAGCTGTAGTGCTGTTCGCTTGCTTGTTGCTTACTGCGTACGTGGTCGTCTGGTTCTGGGCTCCACATATATATGTGTGTTGTTTTGGGGCTTTTGTTTTCATTTGCAAAGCTCTGGGCCTGTGTTTGGAACAATTATGGCTATTTTAATTTGTAGCAGTACAGTAACATGCATGTTGTGAGATATGCAGTAATACGGTTCACAGCAAACATTATATTTTTTTACCGTAAATATCATGCGTGGTTGTTTTAAATTTCTGCATCCCATTATAGCTTGAATACAAAAAGGAAAGAAAGAAAGACAAATTATCAAGAACAAAGGTGATAAATTCCGTGACAAATCAAAATAACAACAGTGAATCAAGCATATATAGCAAGAATAGGAAAGATTTAGTGGACCTGGGGGAGGGGAGCACCAGTAGTGTGGTGGTGGAGTTATGGATGTGTATGACTAAACTTATCGGGGTTCAAATCCTGATGCTTATGAATATTACGCACGTGCAAATGGACCTTAAAGGAATTCAATTGGATCAGAAATGTGCCGATGGTTTACATCTCTATGAGCATATGTTAAAGGATACAGTCATTGCGTATGCGTCTGTCTGTCATATAATTGCAAAAGAAAAAAAAGAGAAAGAAACAGTGCAAAGGGATTGTCAATTTGTCACTCTCTAGAGCACAACATTCTCGGATATTTCGGACACTCCAAAAATGTCTAGATCCATCACCATTCGCCAACGGCATATGCAGGTACATGACATTTATTAGTAGGGTATGTCCTGATAATTAATTACCTTTTTCTTGCTTTGGTTATATCTCGTGTGTTGCTCGTTCATAAAGTGACCTACCACTGGTCATTCTCCAAATTAATTAACAATCATAGCAATAATCCAACAACGAAACATATTTTAGCATGAGTCCTAATTAGCTCTGGTGTTATATTTCAACAAGAATCAAGAAAGAAAGCCTTGCTCTTGATGGCATTTTCTCTGGTGACAAACACTGAAAAATCTCTGTTGATGAACTCCATCTACCCAAGGACAAGTCCCTGCTAATCAAAATCAAACGTAGCAGCATCTCACAAAAGTCCATCTATCCCATTGAATGCGCACATATGCGTGTGTGAAGAGAGGAGTAGAGTATTGAATTGGTTTGTGGGGGCATTTTACATTTACAGTGGCACGAGCCTCTCCATGTGGCCTTCACATGCGTCTATCTCTACAAAATCAGAAGAGTCCTTGGTGTGTAGTAGTGCAAGACTGAAAGTGCAATTAACCACACACCCCCATCGATCGATCGAATTTGCCAAGCAATTACCTCACACTGCATGTAATAGTGTAGTACACTGGTGTTTGAATGCTCTGAAGATGAAGATGAAAATTAAGTATTTCACGCAAAACGAGATTGTAATAACGTGTGATTAATTGAGTTTTAATTATTACAAACTTGAAAAATGGATTAATCTGATATTTAGAACAACTTTCATGTAGAAAGTTTTCGCACGAAACGCACCGTTTAGCAGTTTGAAAAGCGTGCCATGAGTATCCAGAATTTAATCTAAGTTTTGTTGGATAAAAGAACAGGGCCTCCATCGTTTGATTTATCTGTGAAATAAGTCAAACGGCATATTTACAAACGAAAAATAATTTGTGAATAAAACTTTTATATATGTGTTCTTAGCGATCTAAAAGTAAAGGCTGGAAAATAAACTTCAGTGAAAAACTCCAAAATCACCTTCAAATTAAAGGTGTTCAAATTTTAGTTGATAAGCACATAAGCCAAAAGATGAGTCCTTTCGATTATTCCTTCTCTCTCAATGCATTTTTTTTCTTTCTCAAGTTAATCAGCAATCTGTGTGTGTTAATTGGATTATGGATTATTATATGCACACTTTCTAATTAAGCTCATTCATCCCAAAACTTTCTTCGTCAACGTTTCTTAGAAAACTTTTAAAAATCAACTTTACTAACCTTCATAAAATTCAATTCATTTGTTTTTACTCTCGAATAATTGTCATAAACTCAGTTTTTATCATTAATATATTATCTATCAGCACCTTAGAATGCACCGACGCATGCATGGCTTTAGTATCTAGGCTATGATAGTTTGATCTACGGAGGTAGAAAAATGAACTAAATAACTAAAAATAATTTATAGATAAAATTTTATATATGTATTCTTACTTCTTAGCGGTTTAAAAAGTGAATGACACAAAAACTAACTACAATGAGAAAACATCAAAATTAAGTTCAAAATTAAAGTTTTAAAGTATAAAATTTGATCATGACTACAAACAGACGATGAGAGACATCCAAAATACTCTATCCGTTCACAATAAAAGGGACATGGTAGCTCATCATTTGTACACAAATATAAAAGATTAGTAGTACTAGTACATTAATCACCCGTAGTTTAATTTTCTTTCCATTCTACCTTCAACCCCTTCTTTTATAATAGTTTTCTTTTTGTTCTCATTCTTAATCGTTTTAAAAGTCTCTATAATTTCTTAAAAAACAGAGGGCCCGGGGCACTTGGTAGGACAGATCCCCGATCGATTTTCCGGCCGTGCAGATACACATCAGAAGAACATGCATGGTGATCTGTTCTTCTCGATCTCTCTTCCGATCGAACGGTTCGATCAGTACGCGCGTACATACACATGCGACAGTACGCAGTACACGCGATTGAATTACTGCATTGCATTTTTGCATCGGCAATAGGCGTTGGTAACTCGGTGATGAGCAGTAACAAGTGAGTCAGAAGACGATCGATCGATCGATGAATATCGGCTGTGTTTAGTTCACACAAAAATTAGAAGTTTGGTTAAAATTAGAACGATGTGACGGAAAAGTTAAAAATTTGTATGTGTAGAAAAATTTTGATGTGATGAAAAAGTTGGGAACTAAACAAGGGCATCGGTAGATAGGCCGAGTTTAGTTCCAAACTTTTTTTTTTCAAACTTCCAACTCCCATCTATCTATAGGGTGTGTTTAATTCCTGAAAAAATTGAAAGTTTGAAGAAAGTTAGGAGTTTAGAAAAAAAATTAAAAGTTTATGTGTATAAAAATTTTTATAATGTGATATGATGTGATGTAAAGTTAGAAATAGGGGAGAAACTAAACACGGCCTAAACACACCCTATAGATAGATGGAGGGGCCACGCGGTTGGCCATATTTTAATTTGCAGTTGCAAATTGCTCGCAAATGGCAGTAGCAATCTCTCCATCGTCGTTGCAGCTGCAGCTGCAGCAGTAGCAGCAGCCTTTGCTTGCACTGGCCGACCTGACAAATCTCGCCGTATGCCAGCTCGCCTGCCCGTCCGGCCGTCCGGCTGGCCGGCCGGCGCCATTAGAGTACGCACGTACGTACTACGACGTTGAAGACGACCACCACCAGTGGCTGGCCGGCTTGCTCTGCTTGTCTCTCCCTCTTCTCTCACCCAACATAATCTGAACTATCTGAAGAAACAAATTTGAGGTGGTATCTGAACATAATGGGATTACAAATTTCTCTCTGCTTACAAATTTAAGTCCCTATCACATCGGATGTTTGGACACTAATAATAAATATTAAACGTAGACTATTAATAAAACCCATCTATAATCTTGGACTAATTCGCGAGACGAATCTATTGAGCATAATTAATCCATGATTAGCCTATGTGATGTTCCAGTAAACATTTTCTAATTATGGATTAATTAGGCTTAAAAAATTTGTCTCACGAATTAGCTTTCATTTATATAATTAATTTTGTAAGTAGTCTATATTTAACACTCTAAATTAGTGTCTAAATAAAGGGACTAAAGTTAAAGTCCCTAGATTCAAACGCCACCTGGTCATCCATCGTTCGGTTGGTTTCCTTTTGATGTCACCGATGACCATGAGCTGAGGTAGAATTGACTATTTGAGCGCGGTAGTAGTAGTACGAGTGTTAGATCCAGCGGCCATGAATGCGCATTTAGTTCACTGCCTCTGAGGAGCAACAGTAGTTAAAGTTGTCATGGGGACGGAGCGAGACACGCTACAGTTGTAAATGCTACTACTACCACACCACTGCTCTACTACCACTCTCACCTCCATCTCAATCCAAGAGAAGTAAATTCAACGTCGTCTTCTACTAGTCTTCGTCTTACATTCTCTACGCTTTTCTTATACTAATACACGTACGATCGTACAACTCATACATGTCTCTAATTTTGATTGATCTATGGTTATATATAAAATTAGAGACATGTAACCATAGATCAATCAAAATAGAGCATGTTCATATATACTGCAGCCGTTTACAACCACCGATCAAATTCAATCGTACATAAGTTGAACAGTTGAGTCGTATGTATAGCAATTATTTTTCTTTTTTTTCCTACGATGAGTGCACTGTATCCTGATCAGTAGCAAGCATGTGTGAGTGACAGTGTGACTGAGTATTGTTGCTGTTGTTATTACTTGGCGGATAAAGATCCTGGCAGCCGAGAAATGTCAGGAGATGGGAACAAAAGAATTTTGTGCAGCTGCAAAGTGCAAAGCCTCTCATGCATGGCATGGAGGGGAACGGTGATCCACGCTTGTCTGCCTCAATTGCGGGGGATGCAAAAGTCACCATATATACAAGCATTAGTCCATTCCCAACCCAAGACACTTGACATGGTTTCCATAAACTCCACATCACCAAAAAAATTTAGTACTAGACACTACTCTTTCAATGCAAACATCAATATTTCATACTTAAATTTAATGTTACTTATCTCACATGATGTCTTGGGTGTTGTGTAGAAATCATGTCTCATGCAAGACATGGTTTCCTTCTCTTTCCTCATTTATTCACTTGCCACATCATTTTTTATTCTAGGTGGCAGCTTATTTAATAATATGGATACCATCCTAGTCATTGGGTTGGGAATGACTTTATATTGCGGGGGATTCTGCATGTTTTAATTGTGATTTCACATCGGTTTTTGTAGATTGTTAAACATGGGCCATGTAAATGGGGGGGACAATTGACCATATTACTCATGGGAGTACCTATACATCTTTCGAAAGATTTTTATAATCGTATCACACAGATTTTTAATCTTTAGATTAAAATCCGATAGATATAATAAAAAGCAAAAAGCAATTAAGAAACACCATAATGGACACTAAATTACCATATCCTCAATAAAAAGACCAAATCCAATACAAAATTTAAAATTTACATGCGAAGATTCAAAAATTACAGTGTAACTTACAAAAGTTACAGTGTAAGTTTCATAAATTACACTGTAACTTACAAGAAAATGCACTGTAAATTTGAGTAAGAAAATCGAGTGAGAGATAAGAAAAATCTTTCGAGTGAGATATAGCAAAATCGATTACTCATAGAGAGTACCTATACATCTTTCGAAATAGGGAGTACCTATACATCTTTCGAAAGATTTTTATGATCGTATCACACAGATTTTTAATCTTTGGATTAAAATCCGATAGATATAATAAAAAGCAAAAAGCAATTAAGAAACACCATAATGGACACTAAATTACCATATCCTCAAGAAAAAGACCAAATCCAATACAAAATTTAAAATTTACATGCAAAAATTCAAAAATTACAGTGTAACTTACAAAAGTTACAGTGTAAGTTTTATAAATTACACTGTAACTTACAAGAAAATGCACTGTAAATTTGAGTGAGAAAATCGAGTGAGAGATAAGAAAAAATCTTTCGAGTGAGATATAGCAAAATCGGGCCTGTCTCTTTAATTCTGATGGAAAGTAAACAAAAAAAAATCGTTGACCATTTATCCATGTTGAATTTTTCTGCAGACCTCACGAGAAGCAAGGACCACAGAATTTGATCCCGCTGCATTTTTTTTTTTTCTAATTGGAGTGTCACGTATACGTAAAATTAAAGTCACATTGGATTAAAACCGGTTGAACCGTGAACATACCATGTAGACCGAAACTGCTATCAATATTATCGAGGGATTAGATATTATTGGTTTTAGAAGTCGGGGGAAGCTATACACGGTACCTGGTTTTGGGTCGAGAGATGTGAATAAAACTTGACCTGTATGGAGGAATCTAAAGTAAACTTTCTTACTGGTTAAACGGTTACTGAAATATGGGCCACATGTCTAACGCCATCAACTTGGGCCACATGAGAGAAAGTAAACCAGGCCACGAGCCCACGAGATGGCCCACTGCTGGTACTGGGCCGTGCTGTCTTGTTGGGCCTGTACCTCAGCTGGGTTTGGGCTCTTCGTGGCCACCGGTACCGCTGTTAGAATTGACATGAAATTTGCAAAACCCACCGCCTAACGTTTTACCCACCACAATCATGATATTTTTACCTTTGGAGACGAATTGCAGTTATGAAAGCTACATTTTAGCCTTGTATTTGTGCTTAAAATTTTGAAACGCCAACTTGTCGAATAACATATATGTTTTAAAAGCAACACCGAATAACAAATTTTCGTGAGTGGGTACACATATATATATGAATATATAATTTTGGGACATATTCATCACAGTACCTCCTGTCTTGCATAGTTCCATGCATGATCTGAATGGTTGACACATGCACGCCAGGTTGATTTGCAAATATATAGTAATTTTCAACAGAACCAGTACGTGTAAAATCAAAATTCTAGCAAAGACCGTAGATATATAATACTCCCTCGTTTCATATTATAAGTTCGTTTGATTATTTTCTTAGTTAAACATCTTTAAATTTAATCAAATTTATAGAAAATATAACAATGTTTTCAACACAAAACAAACATATTATGAAAACATATTCAATGTTAGATTTAATGATATTAATTTCATATTTTAGATGTTAAATTTTTCTATAAACTTAATAAAGTTTGACTAGGAAAAGAGTCAAACGTTTTATAATATGAAACGGATGAAGACACAACATGAAGATCAACGACAATGCATCAATCCATGGTCCTCACATATATATCGGCAGTGGTAGAGTTTGATCTGCTGATCAGTTACACGAATCAGAGCACAAACGTGCTGTTTATATATATATATATATATATATATATATATATATATATATATATATATATATATATATATATATATATATATATATATATATATATATCATACAACACACACAATATGGCACAATGGTGGCAAGGTCTGTTTAATTTGTGCACGTACGCAATTACGCATGCAGCTGATGAGCAGCCACAAACGCTAGCTTGCAATGCATGCTGACACATTTTTTTTTCACAACGCCTAATGACAATACTGGTTATGATGATCTGACGAACACATAGAATTACTGCATCGATTTCTTCAGGTTGATCACGCTGTTACGTAGCCGCGGGTATCGACGCCTTCAGATTTCATCTGCAACAGATACAACACACTTTCAGATTTCAACTACAAGAGATGTAAGAAACAGTTACTGAGTTAATTATTAAGATGAATGCCAGTAATACATATACTCCCTTCGTTTCTAAATAACTGACAACATTTACTTTCCATTTGAATATTGAACATTGTTTTCTCTCAAATTGTTAGACCAAAGTGAACAAAAGTCCGATGCTTGTATTTAAGATATAGCACACTTTAATAACATTTTATCATTTCCAAAGACGAGTTGCCAAAGTTCGAAAGTAAATAGTATCCGCTGGCAGTTATGTAAAAATAGCAGAGGGTAAATATCAACTTGCCTAACTGGATTATACTCTGCAAATATATACTTTTGTGTAGGTATAAATCTACAGTACTGAGTGTTTTATTTACCTAACGTACGTGTGTACGTACGGTGTCTACACCAAAACTAATTGAAGGCCGGCTGCTGCCTGCAGAATAGAAACAAAAGTTAAACAAGAACTGTATATTAACATATGTAGCTGGATTTGTAAGAAACACAAAAAGACTGAATAATATAATCTCGATCTCTGGAGCATGAAATTCTGTAAGCATATATATTCAGTTAATTGATCTCAATTTACCCGAGTTGAAGGGTAGTTGGCTGCAGCTGATGGGCGTAATGCTGAGGCTGCTGCATGATGTTCACTTGAAGAAAGTTCCTGGAATCATATGGGTTATTAACCATATGATCGTATTCACTTGTTGATGCTGCCCCCATCATGTTCAGTGGCTGCTGTCCCCTCTCATTCTCAACAACCTACATAATCAATTATTTATATAATCAGAGGCCACAGCTCTCAGAAAGAATTCAGTTGGTAATTAACTATATTGGAACTGCAATAACTTATCCTCATAGGAATGTATTTACCTTGCTCCTCAGGTACATGTTGTCATTCTGCAGCTCAACTTCCTGAAGAATAATATATATGTGACATGTAATTTGGTCTGAAAAATGGAACTAAGACATGCAAAAGAAAGGAAACTACGTACGGTTGGCATAAAACGAGTTCTCGTGCTATGATCTTACTTACCCTTTTCTGCATGTACTCAACTTCAGCATATAACAGCTCATTCTGCGATAAAGAAATGTCCACTGGGTTGATTAGGACGATCAAAATGAAATTGAGATATACAAAGGACATCGATAGCTCATGCATGGAATTAAAGAACATAGAATTTGCACTTAGTCAAAAGTCATGAAGAAATAGCTGATGTATACTATAAGTTATATAATGCTTTAAATTGAGTTGCACTATATACCTTTCTAGCCCTTATCTTAGCTATGCCTTTCTCCAGCCTGTTCTCTACCTGTTTAAGGTCCCTGAGGCTCATGGTGTTGATAGAATCCCCCACTATGGTCCTACTAGAGATATTTAGGCAAGCCGAGTTAGACTGCAATACAGAACATTTTGGTTTATATTGGTGCAAAAGTAAGTCATACGTATCTGGAATCTTTACCTGTTTGCGTTCTGTAAGCTACTGATTTGTTGGCGCAGTTTGGAGGACTCCTGCTGGTAGTGCTGCAGTTTGCAGCATATATGATAGCATTCATCAGTACATAAAGTTTATGTTGAAAACATATTCTAGCTGAAATGATGTTCAACCGAACATTCGCAGAGAAAAACTCCTGTTTGGGTTATAATTAGTCTATTTCAATTTTCACTTATGTATTAAACATGTCTTTGTTTAAAAGTTTTATGTTACGTACGTCATATTCTTCACAAAAAACTACATGATCTCTCAGATTTAGCTATAAGAAATTTTACAGGCCAAGTTTTTTTTTCAATAAAAATCTACTGTATGCAATACACCACTCTAGCAGAAAAACATCAGTGCAGTCTGAAGGTTCATACTATAGTAGCTTACTGTGCTGGGATAGAATCATCAAATTAAGTTATATAAGTTAAGAAATAGGATGGAGTTAGTGTATAAATTCAGATAGTCTGTTTTTACTACTACTAACTACTTACGTAGTACATTTGTTTATGGAGTAATATTTCATGTGGTGCCAGGAAATTAATTCTTATTAGAAATACTACTTCACACCCCTATAGTTTCCTTCAACCTATAATATACTGAGCACACCAAATAGTTCTGTTCAAGCCTTCAAGGGGATACATACTGCAGTTTTTGACTACTAGCTGGTTTATGATACTCATAAATTGCAAGATTAATTCATGGCTGGTGGACATGACTAAGCATAAACAATTGATGGTTTTAATTGTTCTCTACATTAATCCACAAATTTTCAATGTTTGTCTAAGATTTGTGAACCCCTAGGCATCTCTACCGCCATGAAATTACGATATTGGTCTAATGAACAATTGCATGTGATCCACTGGATCATACAGAGGATCCTGACTCCTCAGAGCATTGGTTGGCTGCAATAACCGCTGTGTAATGCCCATAACTTTCTGCTCAGGATTTCTTGTCTGAAGATTTTGCTCAGAGAGGTCATGCATGTTTGCGTTTGCACAACAGTAACTAGTAAGAATGTTGAAAGTTCTATAGCATTTAAAGATTGCTCTTACTGTTATTCTGATATCTATATATGTCCACATCTCGGAGTCAATTCGGAAAATTTAGTACTAGTTGAAGAATGTAGACTGAAAGAAATGACATGATGTTACCTGGGCATTGACTTCTGCAACTGTGCCAGAGTTGGAGGTGTCACTGTTTGCCTTCTTGTACCTCTCAACGGTGGATTTCACACTGCAATATGACCATGATTAGTCAAGGGTTATGTTTAATCACTCCTACACAAGAAATTACCAGTTTCAGAACAGTATAGCCAAGACGACTGCGAAAAAAAAAACTTACTCGCTAGGCAATTCCAAAAAAGTTTTTTTTTCTAGAACATATAATTTTCGGCAAGCTAGCTATGAGGGAGAAAAGTATGATAATTAATTGAATTTACTATCCCGAAATTATCGTATAAGTATTGGTTTTAAAAGTTTACACAAGAGGCAACTGAGCATAGCTTGTCAGCATCTTCATGTACTACTAAAAGGACGAAAATAACCAACATCAATTAGTAATACAGAGAATACAGTATAAATAAGTGCAGTAGAAAGTTGAAACTGACATTAATATCTAGTATTCCCTCCATTTCATATTATAAGTCATTTGATTTTCTTTTCTAGTCAAACTTTGTTAGTTTGATCAAGTTTATAAAAAAATTTAACATCTAAAATATCAAATTAGTTTCATTAAATTAAACATTAATTATTTTGATAATATTTTTGTTTTATGTTGAACATACTAATATATTTTTCTATAATTTAATAAACTTAAAGAAGTTTGATTAGAAAAAAAAATCAAACGATTTATCATATGAACAGGAGGGAATACTTCACATTTAGAATGTGGCGTTCAAGGGCAAATGACCATAGTTAAAACACAACATAGCACATTGGTCCGAATCGTGCGCTATCACAAGTCACTCGCTCATTCATGAACTACTGCAGAGTAGCACAGTGGAGTACTGTTTCTCTTTACCGAGGAGATAGAGAGCTTTTCCTGTCATCGATCTGGGGGTTTTGATGCACAAAATGAGACTAGACGACTCCATTGGTGTGATGTGTGTTTCTTATCCATGATTTTGTTTTTGGGTACGGCACAAGAAATCGTGATATACCGGTGTGTCGAAGGGACAAGTGAACACAAACGCTAGCTGACGCCACCAGACAAGGAAAAAAACAATTGTGCGACTCCAGTGTATTCAGACATCATCTTATTTGGCAATATTTCATGAGTTATATTTATCCCCATTAGTTAGCACTTGCCGATTATTACTAGTTTCACTTATTCTATTTTTCATATTATTTTTTGTGGGGTATTTTTCATATTATAAAATGACTGCAAATCAAAAGTCGCTGCTATGTGCTTCTTATATACTAGTAATACGTACTATTCAACGAAAATAACTCAAGGCTCCCTAAATCAAAGAAGAGAAAACAAAAAGTATGCAAACTGAGACTGTGAAGTTCGGAATTTTGAGAGACTACGTCAAGAGAGAATAATGGTAGCAAGCGTATAAAACTATTTTCATCCGAAAAAGAGCATATAAGACTACATATAATGAACTAAAGATCAGCATTAAGTTACAAAATTTTGAGACACTATGTCAAGAGAATAATGGCACCAAGCGTATAAAACTATTTTCATCCGAAAAAGAGCATACAAGACTACATATAATGGACTAAGGATCAGTGTATGTGCGCTTTATCACTCTTTGAAACCGATATAAAGACACTTCTGAAATTGCAGGTTCGAATTAACAGATAAAGCTATAGAATAGTGGCCCTAACATGCTACTCCGTTTTCAGTACAAGTTAACGAAATCACGGAATCATATTAATATACACCTTAACTAGATAACAAATAGTTAATTTTGTGCACATTGCTAAACAATTAGATGTACAAATATGTGATGACTTACAAAGTGCATTCATAAATTTAGTATAAAAAAATGAGTAGTACCAGAGCTAAGTTCTTAAGTGAACTCTAATAATACTATAAATAAAAGGTAAAAAAATCAAGGCTTAGATATACTATGGACTGGGGATACACTAGTATTTTCTCTTTTTTGAAAAATAAGAAAACTCAAAAATGATGGTATGGATGATAATATATATTTGGAGTTCAGTTGTATAGAACGTACGTTTGACAGCCCAAACAACACTTATCCCGTGTTCACCTCACGATCACATTATGTATTCTATTTTAGTTTTGGTGTGTTTGTTAATTATGATTTTCAACCTTAACATATGAAAAACCCAAGCATGTAGGAAGCAAACTTATTTTGACCTTATAAATCTTGTTTTTTCTTGCATAGTTATCAAGCAAAGCATCATATCTAGCTTGAATAGCTTGAAGAAAACAGGGCATGCGGCAATAGGAGCAGAGCTTACGATGAATAGTATATAACAAGAAAACAAAAAATATCCTATTACCTTAAGCAATCTATAAACTCTCCAACAGTACTTCTCATCGCAGAGATTTTATTCTCGTTTCTTAGGCAGATCAATGCATATGACATGCTAATGTTTTACAAGGTTGTACTTACTAATGTAACCACGTAACGTATACGTGGAACTACGTAGTTCCACAGTTTTTATTGTCACAAAGGAGATATTGTTATGTCCATATAATTAAGCATATTTAGACAGAAAATTGTGGAAGGCCACCTTCCAAAATGGTGTACTTGCTACCTAGTCAGCCAACTAGCAAATAAGTTCTTCAAAAAAAAAAAAAACTACCAAACAAGTCAATAACACAAACTGCTGACAATACTTGAGCAGAAACTGCTTATGATGATAAATCCATGAGAATAAATCATTTTAATTTCCAAGGACCGACAAATATGTGGAAATAGTATACGGAGTACTACCCTAAAAAAAACCTAGCTAGAGATCACTGTATACCAAAGATATCCCCAAAAGGTTCTCCAAAAATATTCTTCAAAGATCTTCTGTTCATGCATGCTACTGTGAAGTGACTGCTAGCTAGCTCATGTCTTTTCACTACAACCTTTGAAATTTTCCTTTGTCCAAACATAAAGCGTGCAATTGCTGCATAAAATAACTAACAAACAATCATATCAAGCAGCGAGCACTATCAATCCCCTCCAACCCAAATGAAGATTTTCAGGCAAGAAATTACTTAATCCCTCCATCCTAAATATAAAAACTTTTTTCACCTGCTCCTCAATATCAACCTACCACAATTATTTCCTATTTTATTTCACCTACTTTCTGTCATTCCTTAGAATTTCTTATATTTTGGGTAGCAAAAAAGATGTCCATTATCTAAAAAAATGCAAAAAAGATGTCACATTACAGTGGTAATGTACCAGTAAACATATTGTTCGAGGACCAAAGAAATTGGAGTAATGGTAGTACTGAAGTACAGACATCAATCCTACTATCTTCCTGGCAAGAAAGAAATGAAACCTTAGGATTCTCGAGAACGCTATTTGGCTGCCCAATGTGAAGCTGGGCACAGGATTTCACATGATTGGGCAGCAACAGTGAGACTGGTTTTAACCCAATGGACAAACGAGGGCAACAAGGCAGCAACGCACACACAGAGACTACACTACACAACTGTAGGCTTTTACCCATTCCCATTCTGACCAAAGCCACCAGCTTTTCTTCACTCCTCTTGTAGTCTCCCAATACAAATGCAGGCCCAGTAGTTGTACCATTGCTGCCACGCCATTGGACGCCATTTCTACTGCGACAGTGGCTGCATGGACACGTGTCATCCGTACAAGAGAGGCTTCTTTTTCTTTCTCTTTTTTTTTTTTTGGTGAGGATACATGAGAGGTTTCTGATCCCCATGTTTAAGCAGTGCAACAAAACGTATATATGTGCTTCTAATTTCGTTTTTCAAGGAGGATTGATTAGTCGCGAAGCAAAAAAGAAAAAGTCAATATGTTTTATTAATTGATTTCAAATACTTCATGCAGACCACAGTTTTTCAGTTTTTTCTTCAACATAACTAGACAACAGTGGCCATGTGTGTAATTTTTTTTATGCCTGCATGACATGTTTTCACATAACATTGAAACTGATATTTTGGTACACAAATTTTAGTTTTCTTTATTTGATGAAAAAACAAATAAGCTTATCCTGCCACTTTTTTATTTACATGCATACGACACATAACTAGAACTAATAGTCATAACAAAATCATTTGTAAAAAAAGACTAGCTAATATTTTTATATAATCACATTATTCAGTATGTATAGCTTATGAGGAAAGGGAGACATGCAAAAAATATGGAACAATCATCTTTGTGTAAATTCTTTCAGTAAATCAAACGCATGCATATGTACTCCCCTATATACTTTACTGTATTTTTTTCATCTTTACTGCTGTTTCTTTGTTGGATCCCTTCTTTGTGTTTGGTTCCTGTTCAAAAGTACAGTGGTGCTGTCAGGCATCACCTGCCCTCGTGAAGTTGCTCGGGACTAAAATTTGCACCACACAGCCACACACACTCATGAGAGAGAGAGAGAGAGATGCACATGGGGATGAAGCCCTAACCCTAGCAGCTCATTGGTTGGAAACAGGAGATGATGCAAAAGAAACTGGAACACAAGAGAGAGAGAGAGTGTTATATCATCAGCTGCTTGTTTATCCCTCTACCCTTATTACCTGATCAAACATACATACACTAACACTTGGCACATTCATGTACAAACTAACTACTAGTACATCAATGCCATGGCCAACCATACACACTCTCCTTGCTATCTAGAGATCTGCTTCTACACAAGCAAAGCTACACAAAAGGGAAAGATGATGAATGGAGCCCCAGGATGCTCTATATTTTTTGTGCAAATATGTGTGTGATCATACACATCATGAGGTGTGAGAGAGATCTTAAAGCTCACCTCTCTCTCTCTCTTCATCTATCTCTACAGCTAGCTCTGCCACACAGACATACAAGCACACAGCTTGCCACAGTGGAGAGAGAAAGGAAAAAACATAAATACAGCAAGAAAAGAGCAGGACCACCAAGCCAAAGAAGAACATCTCTCTCTCTCTCTCATCTCACACACACAAGAGAGAGAGAGAGAGAGAGAGAGAAAGAAAGGAAGCAGCAGCATACTACACACAGCAAGCACTGTCCTAGATCTATCTCAAACATCTAGCTCACCTCACCAGAAGCACAAAGGAAAGCAGCAAAAGAAGCTAGCTAGCACACACACACAAGCAAGCAAGAGAGAAACTGTTGCGATTTTCTTTCTTTCCCCCCAGAAACACCAAATAACACGAGACAGTTAATAACAGAAGTAACAAAAGATGCATCTCCCATTTGACCCTCCCCTCTCTTTGCCCCCATGAAAGCTATCTCCATACTTGCTCCAATTTGGACAACCATGAACTCAACCAACAAACATTTTCTTCTTTTTTTTTAAAAAAAAGAAACATATGTGTAGCTTCTATTGTGTATGCATATTTCCATAGCCTTTTTAGACCTCTTGGTTAATTTTATGGATTATATAAGCATAAGTAGGATGAGATGAGATAGTATTTTGTGAATCACCTGTTGTTGGCGTACTCGTAGAGGCGGCCGCGGCTGGAGAAGACGATGAGGGCAACCTCGGCGTCGCAGAGGACGGACAGCTCGTACGCCTTCTTCAGGAGGCCATTGCGGCGCTTGCAGAAGGTCACCTGCCGGTTCGTCGTGTTCTCGATCCGCTTTATCTCGATCTTCCCCCTCCCCATCTTCTCGCTGCTCCCCGCCGCCACCGCCGCCGACGATCCTGACCCAGCCGGCGCCGCTGCCGCGGTCAGCTCCGTCATCGACGATGGCCCGCAGCTCAGATCGGTCTGGACACAAACGCAACAACCCAAATCAAGAAATCAAGAAGTGAATCACTGCGTGCAGCTGCCATGTCTATCTCCGGCTTAATTTCTTGATGAGAAGAAAAATAATAATCAAGAACTGCTCTCCTGTTCTTATCTTTGCTTGTCATGGTGATGTTTAAAGACCCAGAGATCCTACTCCTATCTACATAAAGCATATATTCCTCTTTCTTGACTCTCTAGCTAAATCCTCACAACATGGCAACCAAGATTCCACACCACATATAACACAAGCTTGTGCTCAAGTTAAGAAAGGAAGCAAAATTTATCCAAAAGCAAGAAAGCCAGAATTTACCATCATGTTCATCATGGATGGGTATGCTAACTAGTGCTCTCTCTTCTGAAGATGGAAGAGATCCAGAGAAGGAAAGAAAGAAGATGTGAGAGAGGCAGAAGCAGCAACAGGAGGAGGAGAGGTATTAAAGAGAGAGGTGGGGGAGAAGAAGAGGAAGAAGAGGAGGAGGAGGGAAAGGGGAAGAAGAAATGTGAGGTGAATGTAGTTAGCAGTAGCTTTTGTGGCCAATTCCAATCTGATAGCTATCTATCTCTAGCTTGTTGTTTCTTCTGACTGCAATCCACAACCTTTCTGATTTACTACTAGCTAGCTCTCTTTCCATCAGTCTTTACTCTTTGATCTCTTGTCCTGGCAGGCAGTGCTGTGCTGTCAGATACATATGTCTCCATATCCATTTTACCTCAGAATATGTAATGCAAGTAACTCTGATGTAACTCTGCTTGCAAAGCTTTGCTTCTTGTTGCTGTAAGTCTGAAACTTGCTTTGTTTGGACTGGTAAACTGCATGTTAGACACAAAAAAACAGTTGTGGGAACAGCAAGACCGGTTATTGCTTTCCTCCTTTTTGTTTCACTTTTCACAGTTCAGGAACCTTGTAAGCTGATATATCTGAGACAATGTTACAGATGTTAATGCCAAGGGCTTTACATTGTTTTGCCAATGAAGTTCAGCAGATGCACTTTTTTTTTCAGAACTCACCTAACAAGTTTTACTGTAGTTTCCAATTCAGCAAATCAAATTACTTTCCTATTTAATTTGTGTGATATATAATAACTGATAACTAGTTGCTTTATTCTACCGATCAGATCATCAGAGAGTAAAAACAAAGCAAATCTATATATACAGCATAGAGATGATTTAATGTATGATGTATATACAACCATGTGACACTCCACATACACTGTCCAGTTTCTGTTTGTCACATAGGATGCAGAGATAATGGCTAAGTACTCACCAGCAGCAGCCTCCTATTAATTCAGCACAGTCCTTTCAGTTGCTCTCATGGGGCCCCTATCTCTTCCTCACATAATGTGATGCATCATGCTTGCTGCCAACCCTCTCTCCACTCACTCCACCGTCCATACATCCCCATCACCGGCTCTGGGCCACCGCCGCGGTGCGGTGCACGATGATGGCCGATCGTTGTACCGCCGTTGTTGTTTTCAACTGGCCGATCGATGAAGATCTACCCTTACCTGTCGAAATTGGGGGGGCGATTCGCGCATCGTGATTTTTCGCACGGTGAACTTGAGACTTACATGTGTCACATTGTGGAGCTAGCTACCATGCATTTCCATGAGAGGTTAGTTCCTGCATTGGCACTGTCTCAAGATAGGTTGGTGTAATGGATCTATCAGAGTTGGGACATGATCCTAGATGTGTTGTCACTATGCAGCATTCCTGTTGCTATACTAGCAAGTATATATGAATTATGTCCAAATTAAAGTTGCAGCGAAGGTTTGGACGTTTTGGTGAACATTTTGTAACTGCACTTGGCAAGGTAGTATTGAAATTCCATTCCTGGTGGAATGGTGTAAGAAATAAATTTTGTTTGGAAAGGTTGTGAATTTTTGCAAGCATATATAACTGCTTCTAGTGTTATTGTCTACCTGACTTTTGCAGAGCTACCTTTCCAGTATATGCATAAGGAGAAAAGCAATGAGGAACGGTTAGAAATGGCCAGAATTATTCAGCCAAATGGAGGCAGCTCTGATTTTGGTTTCTGCAAGAACACTTGCCAAAGTCTCATGCCACTAGATCCTTGTTGCTGTATATGACAATTTGCTAGTATGTACCAAAATTCAGTACCTAAAAAGAACAATAAACTAACTCTTAGCTAGGATTCACTGAAAAAATTATAGTAGCTAAATTAGGAGTTTATGACAGAGAAGAAAAGGCATGGAAAAACAAAGAAGAAAAATAATTCTATGTGGAATCAAATCAACTTACCTGTAGCTTGCAAGAATGGATCAAATCAGAGAAAAGGCTCTCCTTCTACATTTGGCACAGGCCAGAAGGACTGAAAAGTACTCCACACTGATTGAACCTTGGTGATATGAAACCTAAACGTCCAATCAAACAGTGGAGATTGAGGTGGTTGACTTGGGCAAACTTGCTATATTAATTGCAGGTACCTCTGGAACAATGGAAGATATTTTGGGTTCTTGTCTACAAATCTGAAGCCCATTAGACACGAATTAGAGTTTAATTTGCCTAGTTATGATGTAAATTGAACTATTAGGAGTAAAATGAAAGCTCATGCTATGATTTTTAACTTAGCTGAGGAAACCATACAGTATGGATAGATTTTACATACTGGAATCAACACCAGATCAGTTGTCAGTGTTTCTGAAACATGAACAAATATATCAGAATCTGTGAACTTTCAGACCGCATATTGCTGAACTTTTTGGCTACATTTCTAATATTGCACCAAATAGAACCTAGTCATATAGCTTCCTTTCAGAACACATCATATCCATGAATGATAAGCATTACGCGATTGAGATATTAGATTATTTAATTTGGTTAATATCTCTAGTACCTTAATTAAATATGGGTTTTGTGTGATCTGTATTCCAAATTAAGATGATACATATATAGTTTTTCATAGGCATATTGAATTTCTCTCTTTTCGAAATAATAGGCCTATTGAGTTTGAATTCCATGTGGCATAAGTAGATTTCTTTTGAAGTACCTGTATTTTGTACACTTGCTCGTTTTCCACCTGCTGTCACTGAAGTTGTTGAAGCTTTAACTGGGATGCTAATCCAACCGAAAGTTAACAAAAAGGTTGCAGTGTGCTCTGAATTGATTTAGCAAAAAAAAGTTGCAATGCATGCTCTGAATTTAACACACAGTAATTAGATCAGTATGTGTTTTCTATCAGTTTATGACAGCACATTAATTTCGGGAGGGCGAATTTACTACTACATTCTGATGAAATAAACCGTCATTCATGGTTGAGAAGAAGGGCAGGCTCCAGGTCTTTGAGCCCCAGCTGGGGCTCACCACAGCAGCTTTGAGCCAATTATTAGAGCACTGTGCTATCCTGTGGTGATCCAGGCACAACGTAGTGTTCTTCGGATGGTAACGCAGGGCTAGTTCCTGATTGGCAAGGCATGGGGTTTGCTGCAGCTTCAGAAATGATTGCTAGCTAGCTTGTCAGGTAAGTGGCCACATGAATGACACTGAACTTGCTTGTTAACTGGGAATTAATATTCTGGTATTAGTTTCATAAATTTGCAGTTATAAGTACCAGATTCTATAAAATCAGGGAAAAAAATCACAGTTTATAATCAGGCAGAAATATTGTCATCTAGGAGAAGAGTGTTGAGTTGTGATCCAAATTCATTTGCACTTAATAAAGGCCAGCTTCTGCCGTAGCGGAGCGGAGGCCCGTCGCCGGGAGGCTTGGGCCAGAGCATAGGGTTCCACCGTATATATACCTCTTGTAAGCCGTCGTGTGGCGATGTAACCTCACTCCAGATATAGTGAATATATTTTGCTGGCTGGCGCCCGTGGTTTTTTCTCTCCTGTTTTGGGAGGGTTTTCCACGTTAAATCTCGTGTCTTTTGTGATTGATCTATTGTTATTTATCGTTTGTTCGCTTATCGTTTTCTAACAAAGAGTAAGACATGAAAATGAAATTAGGATTCTGCTGTTTTACTTTGAGGCTTTGGATTATTCAGGTACGTGTTGGGATCCACAGACTGCAGAGTCACAAGAACAATTGATGGCAACAGGTTTTCTTTCAAGCATTTCATTGTTCTTTCTTCAGTGAAAAAGTAGCAAGTCGGTGTTCCAGTCTTCCTGTCAGAATTAGCACGGTCAGAGAAAATAATTAATGTGGATCAATAATTTGGTGAAGAGGAAGAGATGAATGCTATCTTCCACATATCAGAGGACAAACTTCACTTCTGGTATAGTTCTGAGGCCACAAATTCAGAGAACATTAAACATAACCATCAACTTTAAACAAAGCTTTATGGGTGGAAAGAAAGAGAGCAATATTGCATATACATGCATCAAGAACACACTAAATGGAAAGGAGATGATCAAATGGAGAAGCCATGGAGAAGATGCTATGGTGACAACATTGATTGTTTGCCTGAAATAAGGATGCTCCCACATGAAGAAAAAGATCTTTAGCTGGTCTGCAAGAGGTTTCATCCCTTAAGCAATAGTTGTTCTTGTTGAAAGAGACTGGCATAATGACACACACTACTACTCCAGTTGACATGTGACACTTTCCTAAACACATAACTGCCTCTCACACGTTGTCATGTTGATTCTGTGACCAAATGCTTGATTTGATTTTCACCAAAAAAATGTATAGCTAGCTATGGCTACACAAACCTGCAGAAAGTACTAAACTGTATAGATGACAGTAGTAATAAATTGCCCCCAATTTTGACAACAGTTCAGTGTTTCAGGCAAAAGAATTTGTACCATCTAGGAGAAATTTTCAGATGTATAGCTGAGAGAAGAGTGCTCACAAAAGCTACATAAAGATCTTATAACTGATTGGAAGGAATGGCAAGAGACCCTGAAACTTGTCCAGAAGGGCAACAAATGTCTGGTCAAGTTGAGAAAAGCTTAAGCAAGACGATCAGCAGGCCGTCCACTAACTAATATATAACCATGGGCGCATTTGGAATTAAAGAATCATCTGCAGTAGCTGTCACATTTGGAAAATCGATTAATTAGTTCCTGCACGGCTTAATCAGGTTACAACACAATAATCAGTATGATTCAGAGAGTAATAATAATTAATAGAAAACTAATGATCAAAATTTTAAATGTTTGACCTAATCAACCAAACTTTAATCTTAAACAACAAATATCCATGATCAGAGAGGGAGCATCGTTTAACCACGGATGTCTCATGTCTCGACCAATATAATCAGTCACCGTGGAAACCATGCATACCACGTCGCCTTTCTGTTAGGACCTCACCCACCGCCATCGCCGTCGCCGTCGACGGCGACGGGGACGAGGACGAGGACGACAGACACGGTGGCCAAAGGCGAGCGAGAGAGGGGCAATGGTGGTGCATGGATGATGATATTTGTGAAAGGGACACAAAGATATTGAGGTGAGAGATGGATGCAACGCATTCATGTGGTCCATTGCAATGTTTGTTTCCTTTCCCTTTCAGCTAGCTAAGCTAGCTTGAGTTGATGAACAGGCCAGCTGAACTGAACTGAAGCCTCTGCATCTGCATGGCAGCATTGGCATCCACTTCTCCATCCACACTTGCACTACTGTTGATTATGCACACCATGCATGGATAGATCACTTTAAAGTTAAACCAGTGGTCTGATTTCAGCAGCAAAGCACAACGCGCAGGGTTCAGGTTTGCCTTTGCAGTTTAATTTGCATATATCCTGTTGCATTGCAACAGTATGTGCTGTTCTTCAGGTGCAGACATGTACAGTAGTGCTAGTATGCTGTATGTAGCACAAGCATTCATTGTAGGGGTGAAAACGGAGCGGATATTATCCGATCCGATCCGCTCCGAATCCGTCCGAAGTGAGGATATGGTAAGGGTTTTTAGATATCCGGCCGGATGCGGATACGGATAGTTACATGCGGATGCGGATGCGGATATGGTATCGGTTATATCCGACAGATACGGATTATCCGCTATTTTAAGCGGATTATCCAATAAACGTTTTGGCGGATAATCTGAATTTCACAGCCCATATAACCACTCAATTTGGCCTATTTGACACGAGCATTTTCATCGTGTAAAGATTCAGCCCATCCACGTCCACCTTATCCATCAATCTATCCAGGAGTTCAGTCCGTGACTCTGTCGGCGTCGCGTCAACCAATTTTTTCATCGAGACTTCTCTTCTTCCAGTCCTCCCACGCCGCCGCCTGACTTCTCCACCCAGCGCCGCCGCCGCCACCTGCCTTCTCCACCCCGGCGCCGCGGCCTACCCTCTCCACCCCAAAGTCACCTGGTTGTCTCCGTCTCGGCGCCGGCGACGCCTCCTGCCATCTCCAGCACCAACTCTGTCGTATGTGTTATTATCAGAATTGAAGTCTACTTCTCTAGATCATCTCCTTCTGACCTTAGCTGCATATGTGTTATTATGTCATATGCAATATGCAACTTATTAGTAGTATTGTATGAGAATTGGACATCATTTGTGGACCTCCAATGTTCTATCACCTATGTCATGTGATATTGTTTTTTCTAATATTTGTGGAACTTCTATGTCTTACGTGTTATGTGAATGCGATATATCGTGATGTCAATACTATATGTGTCGATTACATGCTTTTGGACAGAAGACAAGTCAATCGTTAACAACTCGACATTATATTATGATGTGATCGGTGCTTTCATGAGTCATGTGAATTGTGATATTGGTACCTCATTGTTGCTCATTGTACAGATGATCAGATGTTGTATCGATTGTATATACATGCCACATCCGATTATTTTTATCCGTTTCCGAGCCGAGTCCGCACCGACTCCGCACCATTTCCGACATCCGAAATAATCCGCTCCGCATCCGCACATTATCCGCATCACCTCCGAATCCGATTAAAAAATATGGTATAGGATATGGTATGACTACTATCCGTCCGAATCCGATCCGTTTTCACCCCTAATTCATTGACCGTACGTAAAAGCCGATATCATAACTAAGATCCTCCTTTGGTTTTATAATGTTTTAATGTTATATGATGTTTTTGTATTTTTTTAAGTCAAATTTTCTTAGGTTTGATCATGCTTAGAAAAGAGTAGCAACATCTCTACAACACTAAATTAATTAGTTTTATTAAATCTAACATTAATTATATTTTAACACGATATTTATTTTGGATTTCAAGATGTTGTTATGTTTTTCTATAAATTAGATCAAAGCTAAAAAAAAGTATGACTTAGAAAACAACAAAAGGTCTTACAATATGAAACGAGGAAATATCAATTTCACATGTTAACTTCCATAAATAACCTCGCAAAAGAACTATAAATAATTATGGTTCCTCTCAGCTATTAGCCTTTGGTCTGATTCTATTTCATATTATATTACCTATGAAACCCTTTCTTAATTATTTCTTAAAGAAAAAGAAAGTTCTATTATATTTTAGGACGGAGGGAGTACTACTAGTGAGATGGAGCATGGATGGTGGTTGGATTCTTGATCCGGAATCGCAGCAAGGGGGGAACAGCAAAATCTGAAGAGATCCGGCGGTGACGTCCACCCTGCCTGCCTCAAGGAGCAACAACAGCAAATGACCGCAGCGACTGCAAGCAGGCATATGTATGAGCTGGTACGAGCCATCTCATCTCATCAGAAAATACTCGTGTGTCAAATGCATCATCTCTCTGTCACGACCGTTTCTACTATCTTAGCGTGCACGCATCTCGCCGACAGGTATATATATACGTGATGACATTTTTCTTTGTACTAGTAAGTATGAGTTATAATTATTTGGTGAACTGGCCACTCACCGCATCTCCCTTTCCCAAAAGAGTGGGACGTATACGTACTAAATTTTTCTTACTCTCCTTCACACCACCGTGTGAGGGGGGTAAAAACGAGTGCACGTCTGAGTTCCAAGTCTTCTTGCTAGAAAAACCGTAGTTTTAACAAACTGATTCAATAGGCCCATCAAAAAAAAGCTAAAACTGGTTCAATGGATTAAAAGAAAAATAGAACATTTGTTTTTTACGAGTCAGTTTACAATATACGGGTATTTAATTATTAATTTGGGAAAGGAATAAATGTACTAATTAACCGGCTTGCGGGAAATGTACTAATTAGTTGCGGTACACATCAGGTTTTTCTTATGCAGATGCTATGAATTATGCCAATTTTCTAGAATGTTTGTTGGGATGTAATTAAGGGCAATATATATATGTTAGTTAATTAGGAGTAATCATTTTGTTTGTGTTTCATTTTAATCTGTTCCCATTTACATGTTAATCTATATATCGTGTACTCTTGTGCAACCTCCCTCATAAAAATGTAATCAAAAGTGGCTATATATAACATGCTCTCCGCGAGAGCGCATAAATACATGTAGCATTTTATTTTCATTTCAACGAGAATTGCACAAGCGCAATTGGTGTGGACAACCATTGAGCGTCTCGTCCGCCCGCGCTCTACTCTAGATTGCGCTCACATATCTTTTTTTTTCCCATACAAATCAAAATTTATTAATTTGTTCTCTTAGCGTAGGGTGAATTATAAACATGCATAGTTGGCAGGGCAGCGGCCAAGCGTCTCGTCCATCCGTGCTCTGGTGCTCGACTTTAGAGTGCACTCATGTTTCCTTTTGACATCCCAAATTATTAATATTATTGATACCAAGCTCCTCCCTAGAATCCATGATCATTTCCCCTTTAGGATCAAGTTTTACTATAATATATGCTCTTAATGTAGGATGAATCGCAAATATACGCAGTTGGTGGGGCAGCTACCAAGCGCCCCTTCCATCCTCACTCGACTCGAGACTGCACTTATATTTGTTTTTAATATTATTGATACCAAGCTCTTCCTTCATATCCATGGTTTTTTTTTTAAAAAAGGATAAAGTTTATCAAAATTTTTAATGCAGGGTGAATCCATCATATGATTGTTTATATTTTGTGATGGAAAATTGGCAAGAAAAGTTGACCATTGTGTTGGCTTTTTCGTTAGAAAACTGGTTCGGAGTTTTGGTAGATGTCGATAAGAGGGAGTGTAACTAATGCAGGTAAGGTTGTGAAATATGTGCTCAGAAACGAATGTTTGGTCTATTGGTGTGTGTCTTTCCTCTGAACTTGTTTGCTTTTGGTTCTTTTTGAATGGTATTTCCATCTTATGATTATGAGGCAGCCTTGATTTATCTTCCAATTAAGCTGACCCCCGCAAGGCTGAATCCTAGCTGAGCAAGTTTTTGATCCTAGCTTGATCTAGCGTGGAAGCAAACTCAAATAGTCAAAGGTTTGCACTGCATTTGAATTCTCTCTTTGCATTGTGTTTGCGATAGGCATCTGCCAACCGTGAACGAGTAGTACACACTCTCAACCCGTACATGCCCATGATTTGTGAGATCGTCAATTGGTCTAGCTTCAGATAGCAAGGTTTGTTGGATGATTCACAGTTTCCTTTTTGGATCTACCTCTTATATAGCTAGGTTTGAAAAAGAAATTGAACAACGTCTTTCGGGAATATTTGGGGTATGTTGTAAAAAAGGCTATATTCAAATCACCCCCTCCCCCTATACAATAATTGTACTAACATAATCGCGAACGTGAAATTCGACCGCTCCTAACACATGAAGTACACACCTGAACATCAGCCATCCTAAACTTCATGTATGTCCTTATAGGAGGATGTTTAAGCACAAAGTTTTAAGATTTACCCTAGGGATTGAATTACTTTTGCCCCTCATGTGTTTGGTTGGGGGAGTCTTTAGGAGGGATTAGGAGTTTAGAGGGAAGAGAATACTAATTGCTTCATTTGGTTAAGAGACATCAGAGTTGAAGAATGAGAATTGAGGGATGAACTTCCTGAATTTTAATACCTGTGAGTAGGGGTAGGACCGTAGGAGTTGACGATTCCTCACGGCTATTTGGCAAGAGATGGGAATGGATTGGGAGTTTAAAGGAGGGAGTTGGAGGGATTGGTCATGGGATCGACTTACATTTTTACTGCCAATCCCTTGTTTGGTAATAGAGATGAGAATCATGGGGAGTATGAAGGGGAATTGAATTTTAAGTGATGATGTCCGGCTCAGATTTATCTCGTCATACTTAGAAAGAAATTCCCTCCCAATTACCTCTCCCTAACCAGGTATTAAAAATGTGGGAGTACGCTCTTAAATAAAACTCCCACATTCTTCAACCAACACAATAGACTTAACAGTCTCCACCCCCTCAAACTACTATTACCCTTAACCATTGCCCCCAACCAAATACGCCATCATTTACATTGCCTAAATAAATCTCAATCATCCATTTTCACCGCATTCTTCAAATCGAAAGAGAAACTACATATTTAACGTAGTTACGTAGTCCCCTTACCAATCTGAAGAGATTGTGTCTAATCCCATCCACTCACATAACCACATCCAAAAGTGACATTTGGTAAGGTGCGAAAAGGCACATAACCTTCCTTTAGGCATGATCTTGATGCCACACCCCATTGTACAGACACGACCAACTTTTTTGACAAGCCTTTACCCACTATAGCTAGATCAAACACTACCTCAATTCTCCAAGTATAAGATTTAACAAAAACAAACAAACAAACACATATCCTTTACATTCGAGCATGCATTTTTGTCATCTCTCTTAAGCAAAGAACGAAATTAAATGCTGCAAGATTTCTAAGCTAGGGACGGCTCTGAAAGTCTTGCATTCTGATCCACAAAGTCATCTCGATCGATCTGTTGCTTCTTGCTATCCGTGCATGCACGATCTATCGCTTCTCCACTATCTTCTCAACTCCTTCAAAACATAATGAGAAAACATGTTAGCTTTCATATAATATTTCTTTCTTAAGAACATAAAAAAACATTTGGTACTTGTTAAGGCATATAGTAAGAAAAAAAAACACTCGGTCAAAAGAAAAAAAAAAGAACACTATGGAAGCTAATAAGATGTGTTGGACATTTTTGACAATTTGGAGTTGCTAATTATCTTTCCTGGAATGATGAAGGGTGAACTATCAACTAGACTAGACTAGAAACAATTCAACCTTGTAGCTTGTGAATGTCAGAGATATGTTACTAGGCCAAAGATATTGGGCCATGCATCCCTAAAATCACTGGGCCTTACAATTTGTTTAATTCTTTGTCTGAGTCCCCCCCCCCCCCCCCTGAACCTTTATGTTTTGATTTTTAACGAATACCTACCGACAGAAGAAAAAGGAAATAAGGAATAGCCTACCCACAAAAGTAGAAGGAAAAGAGGGACATAACTTTGCATTATTAATTCATTGATTATTGACCATGTGTGGGTCACACCCAAGCCCTAGAAACACACACACAGACACACAAAATGTATAACCGAGTTAGTTTTGTGCCTGCTTGAAACCATCATAGGAATTTATTTACTAGTAACAAGTTGAAAGGAATATATATGCATTGAACTGAAAGACTTAAGAAAACATTATCTAACAGTTCGAAGGGGAAAAAAATAATCCCAAATGTGTGCTCAACGCTGAACACATACAGAGAGAAACTAACATACCTTCAACCTACAGCTTACTCCTCCGCAACAGCTCAGGAAGAACATGCCCAAGTTTAAGCATTATTTGGACTATAACTTGTACAGCTCGGCTCCCATGTTGCGAGTTGCTGAAGCATTTCCTCTCCTACTCCCGAAAGAAACACAGGAGTACACTGGCATGGAGGTGCCGTCCCCTGTGGTGTCACTCGGCATCAGGATATGCTTGGCCCCAGGAGTGAGCTTCATCAGACCAGTTCTTTGCGCTTGCATTTCAGGAATGGCAGCTCTTGCAGCAACATTTTCTGCATTTCTAGATGGACATGCTGCATCTCTTCTGCTGCCAGAAGCTTCTTCAACTATCATCCGTCTTGGATGAGTGAATGCAAAGCTTGGAGAGTTGTGGGGGTGAACCGATGATCCAGCTGAGACCACACCATATGACCGAGGCAAATTAGCATCACTTGTAAGAGATGGACTCCCCAGCAGAACATTTCCATGGTGCTGTGAGCCTGACAAGTAGCTGAATCGATCGTCGTATCGCAATCGATCTCCAGATAATGCATTGGTCGTGGGGAATGAGTGGCTCAAATTCTGAGGGGCAGTGTACCTGATATGTGATTGACTTGGGCTTGCAGAATTTGCTGAAACATTGGGCACACTTTGAGCTTGTAAAGAGAGATAAGGCCGTCCTTGTCGCGGCAATTCCAAGAACAACTTTGTGGGATGGTCTTCAGTATAGAAATGTGTCCCAGACACATACTCTCCTCTGGTTGTAGATACTGAGAGATCTTTGCCCATTAGACGCACAGTTTGTCCAGCAGCAGGCCTACACTCCTGCTGCACACCCATTTCAGAATGAGAACTTGAAGCCACTCCAGTTGATGCATTACAATCTTGGGGAGGAACTTCTCCTTCATTGGAGGGCTGGCTGCCTCCAAGATTCAGATTGAAGGCATAATCACCATGAGACTCAGCAAGTTCTCCTGTCAACTTCCGTGAAGAACCAACAAAAAATGTGTCAGACACTTCCATGAACTCACCGTGCAAAAATGTGCCTGGCGATATTGAACTTCTAGCTCTTTCTAACCCAGACTCAGGAACGGACTGACATTGAAGTCCATGTGAATCCAAAGACAGATCCTGCTGGTTTTGTCGTCCCTCGTCAATAACTTGCACATCAGAGTCTAAAGGCTCATGCTGTCTAGGCTCATGATTTGGATCCTCTGGATTTGACACATATGGGTAGTTCAAATCAGTAGATTCTGGCAGTGCCTCATTCAGATCAAACAAATTGGAGGACAACTGTGTGCTGGTGAGCTCAAGAGAATCCTCATGATCTGTACTCTTGCTTGCTTCTTTAGTTGCTGTCTCCGGCATATGAGAACTACAGCTTTCTGCAGCTATGTGCTTGTCCCCTTCACTGGACATGTCCGTGGATGATGACGACGATGACGCCAAAGCATCCGAGAACAGCTTGCAGATATTTTGCTTGTTAATACCAAGCACATCATCAACTTCTGAGAATTTTACACGCTTCACCGATTTGCGGCAGACTTCAATGACTTCTGTGCCTTTTGGGTCGCCATGTTTCTCCTTGACCATTTTGACAGATGTGTGCCTTGTGTATTTCTTCAGAATACTATGCAAAGGGAGCATTTTCTTCAGGTCATGCTGTTTCCCCACCTTGTTGGTAGCGCTTTTACTCTCGCTGTACCTTTTCTTATCAATCTTCTTGTTGTTGTTCTTATCTAAGTTAGTGATCTTTACCTTCTTCCTTCTCTTTGAGTCTGGAGACCTTTCCTCGTCTGTTCTTGCATGGTGTACACCATCAGGTCTCCTTGACGCTTGAGGAGTATCCAATCCACCAGGCAAATTTGTCTTGTCAAGTGCTTCCTGCATATTTGAGCAACATCAGTGGATAATGTGGAATATAAATAAAAGGTAAACACAATAATATAAAACAGTCAGATTACCAGAAATAGCCAGGTTGTGTAAATGACACAAAGGAAAAATTAGATTGTGTAAACTACAGAACGGAAATTAGATTGTGTAAATTATAGAACAGAAATGTGTCGGGTGCATATCCATAGAACTTCGAAAAGGCAATAGCTAATTTAAAACAAACAATATAAGTCAAACTCTTAATTAAGATCACACTTTTGTCAAAGTAAGATAACTATCTAACGAATGCAAAAAAAAAAAACACTTGTGGGGAACTTATGTTAGTTCTTAATTAATTACTAGTTGTTTAGGATTGTGGAAATCTAGAACTTGTGTGCACCACACAAAAATGATGCTGGTGCCAAGGCAGCTAATGTCCACACGTATTTCAACCTCAGAAAATCTTACGACTTAAAAAAAAATTTGCTGGTAACAGTTATTGAATCATTTTATCTCAGTCTCATGTGTCATCATGAAAGGAAAAACTAGTTTAGAATGCGACCGCAACAAGGCCTAGACAGACCAAAAATTTCTGACACCGTATAGAATAAGCAACTGTGATGATGTGTGCTAACACGGATTTTTAACGCTAGTTATGTGGAAGTTTGACATTAACATGGTTGTGTCACATTTCGAAAGTGTTAATGACACATTTCAATAAACTTGATGCAGACATCACAATTACAGGAAGTGTAAATGAAGCATATATGGATATATAAGAACGTTCTAGACGTAATAATGTGATAATACTCGACCAGTTCTAATTTTTTTTAAGACAGTTTAAAGAATGGCAAGATATAAATAACAAGTTCTATTGGTATTACTATATATGAATTTCAGAGTAAGATTCCATGAATTAGTTGTGGAATTAATCTTCAAGGGATTTAACACACGATGAGACTCTCTTGCATGTGTGTACTTGCAAGTAAAAAAACATAAAAAAGGAACAGGCGCCCGACTATATTTTGATCATTATATACTCTACTTAAAATAATACCCACATATGGAATAAACTTAAAATCCTACTACTACTACTATCCCTTTTGTCTGGTCAACTAGCTAATTATCGGAATTAATGCCATCATATCGAGCATATGGTGACAGGCTGACAGCGATAACCACCACCACAACCAAAGCATATGCTTTGACGGTGTGTACTATATGTGGACTAGACACATTTTACTGGCCAGCTATCTGCACACATACCACACACACTACATACACCCACAAATGGGCAAATTTTATTTTTCCTAGACCAAAATAAAAAATCAAATGAAACACCACACATGCAGGCCATGATGAATATCCAAAGAGAATAACGCAGAAAATCTCGATCTAGTATAATTGTCTACTCCACGTCCCTCTCTTGTATAATGTATCCGTCCTGCCGGACCCGAAAATATGTGCCCGGCCGGACACACGCAAAGTACGCAACTCACAATTCACACAGTAGCAAACTTAGCTACCTGCCGCAGGCAACTAGTGTTACTACCACCACCGGTTTGATCGATGCACGAAAAGGCAACGCGACAGATCAAAATGCAACATATAGTACCAGCAGCTAGCCTGCTTCCAGTACAGTTATTTACTGCCTACTAGTGGTAATTAATTAATTAATTAGCCGGCTGGCCATGCATTATTAACTGCTCAATATTCTATTTTTCACTCACTGCATAAATGCTTATCCCAGCAATTAATTAATTAATTAAACTATCCCGAGCGCAGACCAAATATAATCACCTATATATATGTTATTGAAGATTGAAGACCAGTTAGAAATGGTTGATAATATATGCAGTGACGAATGGACTTGGCACGGGACAGATGTGATGCAACAATCCTTACATAAAATATGCTGCACCAAGCGCATTGGGTCAACAAATAAAGCAACCAACTAATTAGTCCCATAATAAGCACGCGTAATTGATGGCGCGCCCGTCCAAAAATAACAGTAAATACAGCTGCTAAAACTAGTAACCGCCGAGAAGTAGCCGCTACACATAAGCATATTTTGATATAAAATAGAAATTAAAGTAATTTAGTAAGCATATGATGCATAGTAAGCACACGTAATTGATGGCGCGCCCGTCAAAAAAGGATAGTGAACACAGCAGCTGCTAAAACTAGTAACCGCCGAGACGTAGCCGCCACACATAAGCATCTTGCATCTTTTGATACAAAATAGAAATTAAAATAATATAGTAAGCATATGATGCATATTAAGCACACGTAATTGATGGTGCGCCCGTCCAAAAATGATAATGAATACAGCTGCTAAACACTAGTAACCGCTGAGATGTAGCTGCTACACATAAGTATCTTTTGATACAAAATAGAAATTAAAGTAATTTAGTACGCATATGATGCATAGTAAGCGCACGTAATTGATGGCGCACCCATCCAAAAATGACAGTGAATATAGCTACTAACACTAATAACCGCTGAGACGTAGCCACCACACACAAACATCTTTTGATACAAAATAGAAATTAAATTTAGTACGCATATGATGCATATTAAGCACGCGTAATTGATGGCGCGTCTGTCCAAAAATGACAGTGAATACAGCTGCTAAACACTAGTAACCGCGGAGACGTAGCAGCTAACCGCGTGACATAATCATATTTTTTATCTAATGGAACAAACAGAAATTAAAGTGATTTAGTAAGCATACAATGCATTATGTCGCGAAGCGAAATCTAAAGCAATCATGGCGTCCATCCCAATCTCAATCCGAGCAAATTCTATCTAAACAATCAATCAGCGGGGGAACATACTACTGGAACGAGACCACAAGTGACAGGCGATAATCATCATGGCATTGCCAGGAAAGGGAGGGTTGGGCTGGGCTGGGCTTGGGCTGGACCACACACCTTTATAGTGAAGTTTCCCTCGGAATCACACGTCTCTGCCGCTGCCGCCGCCGTCACCGAAGCAGAAGCAGCCCCCGCCTCCTCCTCCTCCTCCTCCTGCAGCCTCCGCTTCCGCTTCTTCTCCCTAGCTCGCCGCATGATCGCGCAGAGCGCCTCATCGTCGTCGTTGTCGTTCCCGCCGCCGCCCGAATCGGAGGAGGGAAGCGCGAGGGGAGGCGCCGCCGCGAACAGATCCGATATGGACCGCTTCTTCGGCGCCCTCGCCTTCCCCAGCGTCCTCCTTGACGGCTTCGTTGGCGGCGGCGGCGGGGACGGGGATGGGGACAGCGACCAGGGAGGAAGGGGCGGCGCCGTGGCCAGCTCGTCTGCCCACCACCGGAACCTCCTCGCCTCCATCGGCGGCAGATCCCCCGCACCGAGGCCGTATAGCCTCCTCCCTTCTGCCCCCGCCGCTCCCCTTATGCTTGCCGTGTACTCCCTTCACACAAAATCCCCCCACCAAATCAGAAAAAAAACACAAACCATCCGAGGGAAGCAGGCCGTCGCCTCCACCAACCTGATGGAGAAAGCGGCGACGACCGCCATGGATGTGCTCCGATCTGGCCACCGCAAATCTACCCAAGTCGTGATTGAGGGGGAGAGGAGAAGAGAGAGAGTAGAAGGGAGAGAAGCCTAGTGGTGGGTAGTATTTAAAGGGCACACCGATTTAGAAGGTAATTAAGGTATTTTTGTCACTGGGATAGAATTATCTTACCCACTTCCCGCTCTTCTAATCGCCTTAATTTTTTTTAACCAAACCCCGCTCGCCTCGCCTCAGTGTCGTGCCAGGGGGCGTGGGGCCCACCTCTACACCACCAATTTACTACTGCTGACAGCGACGTGTGAGTGACGGATAGCGGCCAAATTGGGGGGGGTGACTTTTTTTTTATTTTAGTCGAGGCGGGGACGGAGGGTGACGTGGCGAGATCCATGCCGTCGGTCAGAAAGGAGGTAGGGCGCACACGGCAGGTGTGTGAGTGTGCGTGTGTGTCGATCTTCACACGCACGAACGTACAGTATACTACCCTCCTCCCAAGTCCCAAGTCGGTTTCGCTACGTCCACACAACAACAGCGAGACGTCTCCTTCCTCTTAATACAACAAAAAGATGTTGGGGGATGATATCAGCGTGTACCTTTTCCTTTGGATGACGAGGAGACGAAATGCTTGCACGATTGCGTGAAGTAATCACATCTTTTTGTTGTTGTTGTCGCCGTCGTCGTCGTCTTGTTTGGCTCTTTTTCTCGACGAACCGGAGAAAAGAAATGATGGACCGCTGCAGAGAAACTTGGCGTTAAATAGCTTAAACTGAAGTGTAAACGCGTCCGGAGTCATAAGCGTGTCTGCTTGGCTGAAACCACACGTCCCTGTGACTGCTCCTACACTCACACATCTCGTGCTATTTGGCACATGTTTTAACAAGAAGAAGAATGCAAAATTCCATGTAAATTGGTAGCATCGACTTGGATATCGATTGGTTCACCTGATCTAGAGTAATGGAGTACATTTATGACTCCGCGTCGTAGATATATTTTTTCAGTAATTTTCTAATAATAGTTAGCGCTATTTCTTTGGTTAAAATTAGGTAACTTGTGTGATAAAGTTCTGCAGCACATGAATAATTATATATTGTTCCTTGATAAATGTTTGTATTTGCATGTATAAAAGAAATAGTGATACAACAACTTCATGTTATTTCCCATGAATCTATTAGTAGGATGGATTCACTAGTCACTACTACTGCTATTTAAGAGAGCAATTTGATATTTTACAATATATTAAAAAATGTAACACACACTATTTTATATATATTGAATTTTCGAGGAGATACATGCATGCTTAGAATTTCTGTGAGTAATATCAGGAGTTAATTAAGTATGTTTGTTTTTTTATTATTTTTACTTCCATAATGGGGGATGGAAAAAAGCTACCAAAAATGTGCCACACATTAAAGTATCATGAATCACTTTAAACACAAAAATACACCATAATAGACAAAAAAAATGCCATGCATATTGGACTAATTAAGTTTCATCAAATCTTTATATACGGGAGTACAATAAATAATTACTTGTTATAAATCTAGTATTCTAAAACCGGCGACTTTTCTTGCAAATCAAAAGAGTACTCCACATAGCACGAAATTAGTGAGACATGAATAACCTCTGCATAACACATAGGAGTCTGCAGAGCTAGCTAACCAGGTAGGCCCCTTTGTCCTTTTGTTGGGTCACTAACTCAGGTACTAGTCACCCCACCTAGGCTCGTGAGTCACTATTTGCTAGACGGCCGGTGGGAGAAGGGGACGCACTAGCCTAGACCTTTTTGGGGAACTTTTTTTTTTGGTAAAGACGAGACGGAGTGACGTGGCGTGATCGGCGCCATCAGTTGGGAAGATTCATGGTGGAATCACACGGCTGCATATGGTGTGGTTTGAACTGGTCGGCACACATCACATATGAATCTCTTATCCCTTCTCACGCACGAACTTACGCCTGCATCCGTGTCCCCCTACTCAGTCGGTTTCACTACGTCCACCCAACTACAGCGAGACGTCTCCTATAGTAATACAACAAAAAGATGAGTGGGTAATATCAGCATATCCCTTTTCTTTTCTTTTTTTTGGTTGAAACATACACCTTTTAGTTTCTTCGGGTGATAGAGAGACAATATACTTGTACGATTACATGAAGTAATCGCATCTTTGTTTGTATTTTGTTTTGTTGTTTGGTTCTTCTCTTTTGTCCAACTGAAAAAAAAAAGAGTTGGACCACAGGAGAGAAACTTGACGTTAAATAACTTATACTAAACTTTGGACATGTCCAGAGTCATACGTGTGTTGACTAGGCTGAAACCACACGCTCCTGCCACCACGCCAGCAAGCACATCTCGTGCTATTTGTTTCTTGTTTTAGCGAGAAGACGACTGTAAAGTTCCATGTAAATTGGTAGCACTTACTTGAGTATTGAATTTTTCACCTATTCTAGAGTAATGGAGTGCATTTATGAATCCATGTCACCGACCGGTTGATATTTTTTTAGTATTTTCTAATAATAGTGAGTACGATTTCTACTGCTAAAATTAGGTAACTTTATGGTAAATTCTGCAGCATATGAATACGTTATTCCTTGATGAATGTTTGTTGGCATGTATAGAACAATAGTGATACAACAGCTTTTGTGTTAGTTCCTATGAATCTGTTTAGAAGGATGGATTCATTACTATTGATATTTCACAATATTTTAAAAAAAATGTAACACACACTTTTTCCACATAATATATAGATCGAATTTGCAAGGACGTGCATGCTTAGAATTTATGGGGGTAATATCAAAATTTAATTAAGTACGTCAGTATTTTTTAGAATATGGCTTATTTTTACTTCCATAATGGGGGATGGAAATTAAAAGCTATCGGAAATGTGTCACACATTAACAATGATGGTATCATGAGGTACTTTTAACACTAAAATACACCATAATGGCAAAAAACATGCCATGCATATTGGACTAATTGACTTCACCATATCTTTATTAATGGATTACAATAATAGTTACTTGTTACAGATCCAATATTCTAAAGCTGACGAGTTTTCTTGCAAACTAAAAGAGTAATCCATGTGGGACAACATTACTGTGGCATGAGTACCCCCACATAACGCATACGAGCCAACAAAGTTGGTTGACCAGCTAGGCCCGCCTGTCCTTTTGCTGGGCTGCTGACTTAGGCACTAGTCATCCCACCCAATCTTGTGAGTCACCGTTTGCTAGACCGACTAGTGGGAAAGGAGAAGGCCCGTTACCACCTTTTGTGGGGAACCTTTTTTTTTAATATAGGTGGGACGGGGTGACATGGCGTGATGGGCGCCGTTGGTTAGGAGGATGCATGGTGGCATCACGCGAAGGTGTTGGGGATGGGTTCGAATTGGTGGATGCACATGGCAGGTGAGTGTCAATGCTACATCTTTTCTTCACATGCCCTTTCAGTGTTAAATGCTGGCGACACTTAGAAATTCAGTGGAATCATAATTTGGAGTTCTTTCAGATGATCACCCTAGCAAGACTCAAGTTTGCTTAGAGGGGCTTCCTGGAGGTTTTCTTTTTGGCAGCATGGCACATTTGGAAGCAACGAAATGGTTTAATTTTCCAGAATATTCGGCCCTCCTTCCAAGCTTTGAGATCACTTTTTGTGAAGGAAGTTCTTCTGCATATGTGCAGAATGAAGGATCCCTTAAAACAAATTGTTTCTGATTGGTTACAAACTTTATAGATTTTATCTGATTTTTTTTCTCTGTAACTTTGTAAATATTTTTTGAGTTCTATAAAATTACACTGCTGGGCAAAGCCCTGGCAGTATTTCCGATAAAAAAAATAACTTACAGCAAAGCGTGGGGTATCTATCTAGTATCCATAATCTATCCAATCATCAAGTTAGAAAAAGAAAAAAAATGTGTAGAGGAAGAACCAGTGGTATGTTGATGAAGTGACTCCACCACCAACCAGGTTTTAAGATTCTTATGCTCACAATTATGTTTTGCATTTTTTTTAGATAATGGAATAAAATCCTAGCCTTTGCACAAGGAGCTGCAGCCAATTATTACACAAATTTACACAAACTAGCACACAAAAACAAGTCTTAAAAAAACACACTAACAAAGCTAAAGGAAACGCAAGCTAATAAATGTCCACACAAAACAAAGACCCATTGATTATTGAATTCTATTAGGAATCTCCAACCAAAATTATTATGTTTTGCATGTGGGTGCGTTTTTAATACAATTCAATGATGATATGAATCTACCGTTGATTTATGTATCTTCGAGATCGTGTCAAATGATGTATTCTTATATATTCTATATATTCTTATATGTGCGGGTGTAGTATATGTATGTTTTGGGTTGTATATACTGCTTTAAGTGATGCTAGTGTGGTATTCGAGTCTGCCTTCAACACCACAAACTAGTCATAAGCCCCCACAACATACATGAATATGAGAATTGTTAATTCTAGAAATTGTAAGGGGTTACACACAAATCTGTAGGTGCCATTTGAATTAGAAGTGCTCAACGTTGTATTGTCTGACCATATACCATATATAACTTGTGGAAATAGATGAAGAGGATAAAAATAGATGATCTACCAGCATATTTTAGCATGGCTGCCTTTGAAGATGGCATTATATATCTAATCGACTAAGAGGGCAGCTACACAACGAGATCCCGTTGCTACGGGATATTTTAAGTGACTCATCCCTTTTCTTTTTTTCTGTATAGGTGAGATTCCACGTGTGCTCTCTCCTAGTACCTGGTAGCACGTTCAGAGGCGCGATACCTATTCGATTCCTCCTCAGTATCATGCATGCGATACCTCATCGCCGGCGTCGCTCCTCTATAACCGGAGCAGCACAGCACAGGCTGGTACCTGATACCCAATACCCGATACCCGGTACCTGGTACTAGTATGGTACCAGCTGCATGGTGTGTGGTACCTGGTACCTAGTACCTGTGGTACCTGTGGAATTGAAGGGATTCAAGAGGATGTGACAGGGGAATTGATACTATCCATACAAGCCGGAGAAAAAAATCAGCAAGAAAATCATCAAGCAAAAAAAAAAAAGAAAAAACACACATGAGGAAGGGATGCAAGCGACGATGAAGCATTGCCGGTGTGGGAGAGGAGGGGGGAGGAGGAATCAGCCAGAGTGGAATGGAGTGCGAGGGGTACCTACAGGGTATCGAAAAAATGGATGCGAGCAGCGACGCAGCACTGCCGGCGTGGAGAGGAGGATGGGCGGAGAGGAGTACAACACTGTCGCGTGAGGGCGGAGGGATGAAGGAGCTCACAGTCCTCGTTGGCGGGCGCAGCAGTGCGAGAGCTCGCACACCGCTTCGCCACCGCGCCACGCGTTCCGAAGGCAGTGGGAGCAACTCCGCGTGGTGCCGCCTTCCCTGGCGCTGGCAAAGGAGAGCGGGCCAAGCAACTTTCACACCCGATGCGCCACCCTGCACAGCTAGCCGTCGTCGTCGTCTCTGTGCTTATGATGGTGGTAGTCAAAGAGAGAGAGAGGGAGGGAGAGGGAAAGGGAAGAGACAGATAAGAAGAGGGCAAGATGGAAGAAAATGATAAGATGCTAGTGGTCGTAGTTATTCCGTGTGTACGGGATACTGTTGACTAGTTTTTCTGATCGACTAACTATACTGTATTTTTTTTTCTTTTATCTTTTCGTTGCAACTTATGGGTTTTTAGCTAGTTCGGTAAAAGGGGAAAAGAATCGTGTAACAGACGTACGTGCACGACGAGCCCACTAGAAGATCGCGCAGCCCACCTTGGGCGCGCCACATCTCTGACATCACGGCCCGGTACTTCATTCCGCCTCGGTCCAAATTTCCCCAAATCAACCGAAGGATGGGCCGGTCCGCCTGCCTGCCTGGGCCGTTAATTACACATTTACACTAGCAAACGTGCTTGAAAAAACATTAGCATCACGGTGATTGGATTGTTGCTGCAAATTCGAGAGACAGAACGGCTTCAATTCTGTCTATATCTATATCATTAACTCCTACGCGAGCTCCTCCTGAGGAAGGAGCCGGACTTGGCGATCACACGCAGCGTCTTGTCGGTGAAGCGGAGCAGGTTGTAGGCCCACGCGCCGCACACCGCCCCGCTCACCGGCGCCGCCACGTACACCCACACGCCGCCGTACCTCCCCGCCACCATCGCCGGACCAAGGCTCCGAGCCGGGTTCATCGACGCCCCCGTCACCGGCCTGCAAATTAAACCCCCAATGCAATACACACTGTAGCAGCAGCAGCAGCAACAACAACAACAACGAGGCGCCTCATCGTTTAGCTTATTCATGGAATAAATCAAACGACGTGTTTATAAACAAAAAGATAATTTGTGAATAAAACTTTTATATACAGGTTTTTAGCGCTTTAAAAGCAAAGGCTGAAAAATAAACTTCGATGAAAAAAATTCACAAAATTAATTTCAAATTTAATTTTAAAAATTCAAACTGTGGCTGATAAGTATAAGCATAAACGAAAAAGAATACCGAACAACTACTACTAATGCGGCATCAACAGCACGTAGTTAACTGTGAAATTTTATGATTTACTTCAACACATACCCTGCGAAGAGCACGTTCACCGCGACCGTCGCACCGACAGCGAGCCCAGCCAATTCACCGATCTGTGTTGTACACCACAAAATTATCATCGATCATCATGCATATATAGTAATTAATTTGTTAGTGTTGCTGTTCTTATACTGCTCTGTTGTCCGTGGCGACGCTGGAGACGACGAACATGAGGAAGAAAGAGATGACGAACTCCAGCGCCGCCGCCTGCGCCATCGACCCCGCCGGCGTCGTCCCCAAGAACAAGTGCTCCCCCCGCGCGCTGCCGCCGCCGCCGAACACCACGCGCAGCGTCAGGCTTGCCATGGTGGATCCCAGCACCTGGGCCACCACGTACGATGGCACCTGCACCCCCACACACACACATTGATCACCACAAATGAGTTATTGGCAGTAAATTTAACCGAAACATAATCCGATCCATCGTTTGCTCCACGGCTGATAAGCCCTGCAAAAATTGAACGAAGCAACCACAAATAATTGACGGGTAAAAAGAGATGCACTTAATAATGCAGTGGTAAAAGGTGTGTGTGGATTCAATTGACGAGATCACAATTCCTTCTTAAAAAAATAAAAGAAATATTATAATAACAGAAACCTTAAAATCAACTTTTATAACTTAAATCGGCTGATAAACCAATTAGCGAACCATGGAAACGAAAATCTGTTTTGTCGGACAGTCTACAGTGCCACTGATCACTCCCTTTGTGCTACAGAAAGCTGGGAAAATTTGGTCCTTGGTTGGGATGTCATTTTCAGATCCAAGAAAATGGTTTGTTACCTGCTTCCACGGGAAGCATCCTTACGTGGCGAAGGCGACGGTAACGGCGGGGTTGAGGTGGGTGCCGGAGATGTGGCCGACGGAGTAGACCAGCACCGTGACGACGAGCCCCCACACGACGCAGATCCCCGGGAACATCACCGCGCCGCCGGTGCTCAGGTTCACCACCACCGCGCCGCACCCGGCAAATATCATGAAATATGTCCCCAGAATTTCCGTAAGAATCTGCAGGTTTTATTCATGCAGCAATCACTGTTCATTGAAAATTCGATCCAGAAGGATTAATCAGAGTTACGGTTGGTTCAGGCGAGGAATCTCTAATAGTCTAATGCAATTTCTGAATTAGTAGTCTCCATGAAGAAATGAGCACCCATAATGTCACATATGATAGTAATCCCCAGTGGAATTAGTCACATATGGATGTCAAGTTCAGAGTTTCAGTTTGTGAAAATATTCAGAGTAACTGTATTTTTTGCATCTAATTTTTGTACCAGTGGATTGAAAATGAACTAGCATTCGGGCTCTTATACGAGATAGCGGACTGACCGCTTTCATCCCTACTAGTCAGTCAGTCAGTCACTAGGAATCTCTAATGCTGTTTCTGAATTAGTCTACATGAAGAAATCTACTCCACAGTCACAAAGTCACAGATGGTAGTAATCGCCAACGGAATTACTATAGACGTGTTACTGCTGCTGAAAAGGAATGGAGAAGAAAGTCAGAAACCATATGCTTTTGACACGGGTGTCAAGTTCAGAGTTTCAGTTTGCGAGTTTAGGTACGGCATTGGGGTAATCCCAGGAGACTGTGTATCGCAAGTTCTCAACGACCATCACCATACGTACCTTCTGCATGAATTGGACGGAGATCATGTCGTTGCCTTGGCATCTTCTGCTGGTGTTGCTTCCATCCTCTGAATTCTCACACTTCACCTCCTTGCTGTCTTGCCCTTCTTCCATGGCTCCTGCTGCTGCTCCATCCTCTCTCCCAGCCATCTCTCTCCCTGACTCAATTGCAAAGCTATCTGTTTGAGAATTGGGAGTACAAAGATAGTGAAAGACTAGTCCAGGCCAGCAGCATTATGTGCTGGTATTTTTATAGCACTATGCAGCAGCAGCAGCATCATCTTCTTGGATTGACCACCTACTCTACATGAGTGTTGATGCAGGCAGCCGTGCGCAAAGACGAAACCCATCTGGAGTTGGATTAACACGAATTTTAAAATCAGAATCTGGCAAATATACTATTGCTGGTACGTTTTTCCTACCTAATTGAATTCATCTCAACTCTCAAGTCAATTCTTTTTTTGCCCTAAAACAGATGAAATTCAGACTTTCAGGACATAACAAACCATCCATGTATAAAAATAAACGAACTTTTCATATGCATATACTGCAGTCCAGCCTACTCGGAGACAGCTCGGAGACTAGTGCTTTGGCTTATGGACTGAAGAAAACAGCACAACTAAAGTTTTATAATATGTTTTTAATTAATTGGCTTGTACCAAATGTTAAGAAATCAGGGGTGGTTTCTCGAACACCACAAGTCAAGATTAACAAATGTGTGCTGATTGCTGAACACATACAGAGAGAAACTAACATACCTTCAACCTACAGCTTACTCCTCCTCAACAGCTCAGGAAAAACATGTCCAAGTTTAAGCATTATTTGGACTATAACTTGTACAGCCCAGCTCCCATGTTGCGAGTTGCTGAAGCATTTCCACTCTTACTTCCGAAAGAAACACAAGAGTACACTGGCATGGAGGTGCCGTCCCCTGTGGTGTCACTCGGCATCAGGATATGCTTGGCCCCAGGAGTGAGCTTCATCGGACCAGTTCTTCGCGCATGCCGGCCACCAGAGGAAGAGCTAGGCATTTCAGGAATGGCAGCTCTTGCAGCAACATTTTCTGCATTTCTAGATGGACATGCTGCATCTCTTCTGCTGCCAGAAGCTTCTTCAACTATCCGTCTTGGACGAGTGAATGTAAAGCTTGGAGAGTTGTGGGGGTGAACCGACGATCCAGCTGAGACCACACCATATGACCGAGGCAAATTAGCATGATAAACTGAAGATGGTGTCACATGCTGTGCCGTCGTAGGCAAAATTGGTGCTGAGGGTGATGCAGTACTGGATGAAGAAGGATCAGAGTAACGGCTCCAAACATACGGCAAATTCTGACGGAGCGCTGCACTGCCATGACTTGTAAGTGATGGACTCCCCAGCAGAACATTTCCATGGTGCTGTGAGCCTGACAAGTAGCTGAACCGATCGTCGTATTGCAATCGATCTCCAGATAATGCATTGGCCATGGGGAATGAGTGGCTCAAATTCTGTGGGGCAGTGTACCTGATATGTGATTGACTTGGGCTTGCAGAATTTGCTGAAACATTGGGCACACTTTGAGCTTGTAAAGAGAGATAAGGCCGTCCTTGTCGCGGCAATTCCAAGAACAACTTTGTGGGATGGTCTTCAGTATAGGAATGTGTCCCAGACACATACTCTCCTCTGGTTGTAGATACTGCAAGATCTTTGCCCATTAGACGCACAGTTTGTCCTGGAGCAGGCCTACACCCCTGCTGCACACCCATTTCAGCATGAGAACTTGAAGCCGCTCCGGCAGATGCATTACAGTCTTGGGGAGGAACTTCCCCTTCATTGGAGGGCTGACTGCCTCCAAGATTCAGATTGAAGGCATAATACCTCTGGTGCTGCTGAAATGAGTCCTGAACTGTATGATTGGGCAATGCACAAGGTGACTTCCCCTTTGTCATAGCATCTTTAACCGAACCACTACTACAATCACCATGAGACTCAGCAAGTTCTGTCAACTTCCGTGAAGAACCAACAAAAAATGTGTCAGACACTTCCATGAACTCACCGTGCAAAAATGTGCCTGGCGATATTGAACTTCTAGCTCTTTCTAACCCAGACTCAGGAACGGACTGACATTGAAGTCCATGTGAATCCAAAGACAGATCCTGCTGGTTTTGTCCTCCTTCGTCAATAACTTGCACATCAGAGTCTAAAGGCTCATGCTGTCTAGGCTCATGATTTGGCTCCTCTGGATTTGACACATATGGGTAGTTCAAATCAGTAGATTCTGGCAGTGCCTCATTCAGATCAAACAAATTGGAGGACAACTGTGTGCTGGTGAGCTCAAGAGAATCCTCATGATCTGTACTCTTGCTTGCTTCTTTAGTTGCTGTCTCCGGCATATGAGAACTACAGCTTTCTGCAGCTATGTGCTTGTCCCCTTCACTGGACATGTCCGTGGATGATGACGACGATGACGCCAAAGCATCCGAGAACAGCTTGCAGATATTTTGCTTGTTAATACCAAGCACATCATTAACTTCTGAGAATTTTACACGCTTCACTGATTTGCGGCAGACTTCAATGACTTCTGTGCCTTTTGGGTCGCCATGTTTCTCCTTGACCATTTTGACGGATGTGTGCTTTGTGTATTTCTTCAGAATACTATGCAAAGGGAGCATTTTCTTCAGGTCATGCTGTTTCCCCACCTTATTGGTAGCCCTTTTACTCTCGCTGTACCTTTTCTTATCAATCTTCTTGTTGTTGTTCTTATCTAAGTTAGTGATCTTTACCTTCTTCCTTCTCTTTGAGTCTGGAGACCTTTCCTCGTCTGTTCTTGCATGGTGTACACCATCAGGTCTCCTTGACGCTTGAGGAGTATCCAATCCACCAGGCAAATTTGTCTTGTCATGTGCTTCCTGCATAATTGAGCAACATCAGTGGATAATGTGGAATACAAATAAAAGGTAAACACAATAATATAAAACAGTCAGATTACCACATGCATATAAATAGCCAGGTTGTGAAAATGACACAAAGGAAAAATTAGATTGTGTAAACTACAGAACGGAAATTAGATTGTGTAAATTATAGAACAGAAATGTGTCGGATGCATATCCATAGAACTTCGAAAAGGCAATAGCTAATTTAAAACAAACAATATAAGTCAAACTCTTAATTAAGATCACACTTTTGTCAAAGTAAGATAATTATCTGATGAATGCCAAAAAAAAACACTTGTGGGGATATATGAATTTCATAGTAAGATTCCATGAATTAGTTGTGGAATTAATCTTCAAGGGATTTAGCACACAATGAGACTCTCTTGCATGTCTTACATGTGTACTTGCAAGTAAAAAAACATAACAAATGGAACAGGTGCCCAACTATATTTTGATCATTATATACTCTACTTAAAATAATACCCACACAGGGAATAAACTTAAAATCCTTACACTACTACTATCCCTTTTGTCTGGTCAACTAGCTAATAATCGGAATTAATGCTCCCTGGCCCTCCCCAACACAGAGCACGTACGAACAGTGTAGACCATCATATCGAGCATACGGTGACAGGCTGACAGCGATAACTACCACCACAACCAAAGCATATCCTTTGACGGTGTGTACTACGTGGACTAGACACATTTTACTGACCAGCAATCTGCACACATACCACACACACTACGGCTGTGTTTAGTTCAAGGTGAAGTTGGAAGTTTGGTTGAAAATTGGAACGATGTGATTGAAAGTTTGTGTGTGTATGACAGGTTGATGTGATGGGAAAAGTTGGATGTTTGGATGCAAACTTTGGATCTAAACACAGCCTACATACACACACAATTGGGCAAAATTTATTTTTCCTAGACCAAAAGGAAAAAACTATCAAATGAAACACCACACATGCAGGCCATGATGAAGAACCAAAGAGAATAACGCAGAAAATCTCGATCTAGTATAATTGCCTGCTCCACGTCCTCTCTCTTGTAATGGGTCCGTCCGGCCGGACCCGGAAATATGTGCCCGGCTGGACACACACAAAGTATGCAACTCACAATTCACACAGTAGCAAACTTAGCTACCTGCCGCAGGCAACCAGTGTTACTACCACTACCGGTTTGATCGATGCGCGAAAAGGCAACGCGACAGATCAAAATGCAACATATAGTACCAGCAGCTAGTCTGCTTCCAGTACAGTTATTTACTGCCTACTAGTGGTAATTAATTAGTATATAATTAGCCGGCTGGCCATGCATTATTAACTGCTCAATATTCTATTTTTCACTCACTGCATAAATGCTTATCCCAGCAATTAATTAATTAAACTATCTCTCATCATCAGCGCCATGCATGCACGAATCCTACGGGAACAATACTAGGTCGATGTCCCGCACGCGCGCAGCACTAGGCACGACTCCGGAACAACCGGTCCATCCATTTACCGTCAAAAAATACAGCATGAAATAACAATACCGACGAATCCCAAACAGTCACTCACGCATATATATGCATGACTATTGACTAGCTAGCCAACCAGCCAGCAATGTAATTATGCGTACCAAGAAAGAAAAGCACAATGATCAAGCCAGCTTTAGTTTATCACTCTTGGCGCACAGATATAACCCGTACAGCTAGCTAGCCTCGACCAACAAATCATGGTGTTGTACCCGCAACCAAGCAAAGCAATCATCGTGTACCCGAGCGCAAGCCAAATATAATCACCTATATATATGTTATTGAAGATTGAAGACCAGTTAGAAATGGTTGATAATATATGTAGTGATGAATGGACTTGGCACGAGACAGATGTCATAAATAAAAGTTCTTGTAGGTACTAATTATAATTAGCACTAATCACTAATCGCGTCATCACTAGTGCTATTCATATGGTTAAAGCGACGGGGGCGCAGCGTACGCGTCGGCAGGTGCGCGCGACTTCCGCTCGCGGCGCGTACGCGCGCGTCAGGAACCTACTGGAATAATCAGCGGGGGAACATGCTACTGGAACGAGACCACAAGTGACAGGCGATAATCATCATGGCATTGCCAGGAAAGGGAGGGGTTGGGCTGGGCTGGGCTTGGGCTGGACCACGCACCTTTCTGGTGAAGTTTCCCTCGGAATCACGCGTCTCCGCCGCCGCCGCCGCCGCCGCCACCGGAGCAGAAGCAGCCCCCGCCGCCTCCTCCTGCAGCCTCCGCTTCCGCTTCTTCTCCCTAGCTCGCCGCATGATCGCGCAGAGCGCCTCGTCGTCGTCGTCATCGTCGTTCCCGCCGCCGCCCGAATCGGAGGAGGGAAGCGCGAGGGGAGGCGCCGCCGCGAACAGATCCGATATGGACCGCTTCTTCGGCGCCCTCGCCTTCCCCAGCGTCCTCCTCGACGGCTTCGTCGGCGGCGGCGGCGGCGGGGACGGGGACGGGGACGGCGACCGGGGAGGAAGGGGCGGCGCCGCGGCCAGCTCGTCCGCCCACCACCGGAACCTCCTCGCCTCCATCGGCGGCAGATCCCCAGCGCCGAGGCCGTACAGCCTCCTCCCCTCCGCCCCCGCCGCTCCCCTCATGCTCGCCGTGTACTCCCTTCACACAAAAAATCCCCCCACCAAATCAGAAAAACACAACAAAACCAAACCAGCCGAGGGAGCTAGGCAAGCAGTCGCCTCCACCAACCTGATGGAGAAACCGGCGACGACCGCCATGGATGCGCTCCGCTCCGCTCCGGCCGCCGCGAATCTACCCGCGCCGCGATTGAGGGGGAGGAGAGAGAGGGGGGGCAGAGAGAAGTAGAAGGGGAGAGAAGCCTAGTGGTGGGTAGTATTTAAAGGGCACACCGATTTAGAAGGTAATTAAGATATTCTTATCGCCAGGATAGAATTATCTTACCCACTTCCCGCTCTTCTAATCGCCTTTTATTTTTTTAACCGCCCCGCTCGCCTCGGTGTCGTGCCGGGGGGCATGGGCCCACCTCCACACCCCCATTTAGTCCTGCTGACAGCGACGTGTTAGTGACGGACAGCGGCTAAACTGAGGGGCGACTTTTTTCCTACGTCCGTCCACGTAGCTACTTTTTCTAAATGTTCTATAATATAATATATGAATGCATGTATACAATTAATTAGAACCTCTTCTCCATTATATTTTTATTTTTTAAATCCTACACACTCAAGATTTCTAATTTTATTGGATGCATGCATTATATTTATTAGGGTGATCCAAACAAGAAGATGATAATAATTGTTTCTTGGTCTATGTGTTAATGGTGGTTGTGGCTTATATTTTGGAACGGGAGGAGTATTTTTTAGTCGAGGCAGGGACGGAGGGTGACATGGCGAGATCCACGCTGTCGGTCAAGGGAGGAGGTGGGCACACACGGCAGGTGTGTACGAGTGTGTGCGTGTGTCGATCTTCACACGCATGAACATACAGTGTACTACCCTCCTCCCTAAGTCCCAAGTCGGTTTCGCTACGTCCACACAACGACAAGCGAGACGTCTCCTTCCTCCTATGATAACACAACAAAAAGAGATATTAGGGATGATATCAGCGTGTACCTTTTTCCTTTGGACGACGAGGAGACGAAATGCCTGCACGATTGCGTGAAGTAATCACGTCTTTTTGTTGTTTTTTGTTGTTGTTGTTGTGGTGTTTGGTTCTTTTTCTCGGCGGACCGGAGAAAAGAAAAGATGGACCACTGCAGAGAAACTTGGCATTAAATAGCTTAAACTAAAGTGTAAACGCGTCTGGAGTAATAAGCGTGTATGCTTGGCTGAAACCATGCGTTGTGACTGCTCCTACATGCACACCTAAGCCTGCCAGTGGATTGGGTGGGAATGGGTTTATTGGATTGGATTTCCTCTTGGATTGTGTTTGGATGGTTTGTAATGGGCTGAAGATATAAATGGGCTGGGGCGGTTTGGGTGGAAGAAAATGTGGGTTGGTGTGGTTTGGATTTGGTCACCGTTTTTCTAGACTGGAAATGGGTTCAATCCATGGATTTCTATTGGATGGCAGAATGGGCACAACCCAAAATGGTTGCCGTGCATCGTCAATCCCCAATTCCTCTTCTTCTCGACAGCCAAGTCAACACCACATCCACAAATCGCTCGATGCACCGCCGCTGTGCTTGCCGATGCTTTCCTCGCTGCCGTGGCTCGCCGGCGAGACGTTCCCGTCCATCGCCCGTGCCGTGCTTGCCGATGCTTTCCTCGCTGCCGTGGCTCACCGGCAAGACGCGCAATCTAGGGCAAGCACATGTGATGGCGAGGTGAGGGCGATGGCGTGTGCACGGGGGGGCGTGGAAGGAGGCGGAGCTCCTGTACGAGCGGCGCGACCAGCGGTCACTGCCGCACCGACGGCCCAGCCACCGCAGCTGCCTTCTGCTCCGCCTCTTCTGCGTCGGCAGGTTGCTGTTGCCGTCGGTGACGATGGCGCCATGGAGTTCTGCTTGGAGGTAATTGTGGCGCCATGGATTAGCCTACGCCGCGCGAGGAAGACGATTGGTTCGTCGAGGTCAGCATCCTTGTTGGTGGTCAATGGATTGAAATGGGTTTGAGTGGTTTGGAAAGGTGGATTGAATCCATATGAGGGGAATGGATTGGTTTGGTTTGGACTGAGGTAGAAAATGGGTTGGATTGGTTTGGGTTCTAAAAGTTGATTTGTGGACTGGATTGGTTTAGGCTACTTTAACTGGTTGTCATGGTTTGGACTGGGAATGGTGCGGGTTTTGATCCATTGGCAGGCTTATGCACACATCTCGTGCTATTTGCCACATGTTTTAACAAGAAGAAGAATGTAAAGTTCCATGTAAATCGGTAGCACTGTCTTGGATACCGACTGTTTCACATGTTCTAGAATAATAGAGTACATTTATGACTCCGCGTTATAGATATGTTTTTTTTGGTAATTTTATAATAATGGTTAGCGCTATTTCTTTAGCTAAAATTAGGTAACTTATGTGATAAAGTTCTGCAGCACATGAATATATTGTTCCTTGATAAATGTTTGTATTGGCGTGTATAAAAGAAATAGTGATACAACAACTTCATGTTATTTCCTATGAATATAAGTTGGATGGATTCACTAGTCACTACTATTGTTATTTAAGAGAGCAATTCGATATTTTACAATATATTAAAAAATGTAACACACTTTTATATATATATTGAATTTTCGAGGAGATACAAGCATGCTTTTTCTGTGAGTGATATCAGGAGTTAATAAAGTATGTTGGTTTTTTTTTTATTATTTTTACTTCCATAACGGGGGATGGAAAAAAGCTACCGAAAATGTGCCACACATTAACAATGATGGTATCATGAATCACTTTAAACACAAAAATACACCATAATAGACAAAAACATGCCATGCATATTGGACTAATTAAGTTTCACCAAATCTTTAAAAACAGGAGTACAATAATAGTTACTTGTTATAAATCTAGTATTCTAAAGCCAGTGAGTATTCTTGCAAATCAAAAGAGTACTTGACGCGTGGCACGAAATTAGTGAGACATGAATAACCCCTACATAATGCGTAGGAGTCTGCAGAGCTAGCTAACTAGGCAGGCCCCTTTGTCCTTTTGTTGTTGTTGGGCCACTAACTCAGGTACTGTAAGATCAAGGGGGCCGACTAGAGGAGGGTAAATAGGCGGTTTTAAAACTTAATGGCACTTAAACAAAACTAACCTAAGTTGCTAGGCAAGGTAAGGTGCAAGGTTAACTAAGCAACTAAGTTAAGTTTTGCAAACCTAGGTGATATGGGCTCAAATATGTCTCTATGAATGTAAATAGCACAAATGTAAATGCAACAAATAAATGAGACAAGAGACAAGAGACAAGGAATTTTTCACCGAGGTTCGGAAACTCGCCGATTTCCTAATCCCCGTTGAGGCGAGCCCAACTCCACCGCTCAACCACGAAGCCACCGCACGCCCCCTTCGTCAAGGGGTGGGCAAGGCGGGAGCCGGCCCACGGAGAGGACTACCCAAGCCTCGATCACTTGGGGTAGTTCTTCCTTCACTCTGAAGGTGGTGAACTCTAAACCACTCACAAACGGCGCCGGGCCTCCTCCACAATCTCCTCGGAGAGGTCACCAGGCAACACCTACACAAGCCGTCTAGGAGGCGGCAACCTCCAAGAGTAACAAGTCTAGGATGCTTGCCGAGGATGATCAAGTGCCACACTAGCTATAACAATGAAGCAATGCACTTGGATTGGCTTAACTCACTCTCTAACACCTCACTAGATAAACTAAGTGCACAAGGGTATGAGAGCTCTTGCAAGGGTTCAAGATAATGCAATGGAGTGCCAAAACCTTACCCTTGCTGCTGGGGAGTGGGTATATATACCCCCAACCACCAAAACTAGCCGTTCGAACCGAAATCCCTAACTCTGTGCTTTGCCGGTCAGACCGCCGTTGTGAGGCCGGTCAGACCGGACTACTTTGTAACGGCTAGAAAACTAGCCGTTACAGGGCAATCATTGAGCCCACTCAACCTGGTCGGTCTGACCGCAGTGTAGTGGCCGGTCAGACCGTCCACGGCTCGGTCTGACCGGTTGCGGCTCTGGCGGCTCTGTATCGCCACCAAAAACCAGACCAGTGCAACAGACCAGTGGGGCCGGTCAGACCGGCCTTACCACGCTGGTCAGACTGGCTAACAGGCCCGGTCAGACTGGCCTAAGGCCCACGATCAGACCGCAAGTCACTTTTCAGCTCAACCGACCGTTAGTAAAACGGCGATATCTCTTGACTCGGGTCTCGGAATTTGGCGTTCTTAGACTCTATGGAAAGCTTATTCAAAGGGCTATCCAACCCATGAACAATCTATCCAAGAAACACAACTTTTCTCTGGGAGAAAGGGCTCACACTCCAAAGAATACTCCACCGGACATAACCACATGAGGCTACCCAAACCTATAGGATTTGCCCACATCTCTCTTTGTTTAGGACTTGAGAAAACTCACCACACTTGGCTAGACAAGCCCACAAAATACACCTACATGCATATGAACTAATATGGCGCAAGATCATCCACAAGCTCGCTTCATAGACCCCTCTTGATAGTACGACGCCTATCTAGCTAATCCGGTCTACACCAAACATCAAGACCGGGAAAAGACTAAGAAAACATTCTTAGCTCCATTATACCTTTGCCTTGCGCATCCAACTTGGGGTCAAGCTTGAGTCGAGATCAACACTTGTGACAATTTGATTCAACCATGTTTATACCAAGGTATTTACCATCATTTGTCAAGACTTTCTTCTCATCACAAGCTTGATTTCATTCTTGCCAACATGGCGATGTCCTTGGCTTGGTGACCATTAACCCATGGTGTCATCCATTAGCCTCATCATAGTGGGACCTATTCCTTTTCACATCTCAAAGGAGAACAATAGTCTCAACAAATCGGTTGTCATCCTTCACTTGATGACCAACCGGTTGCATATGAAAGATATGGATATGTTTGTTGAGTTTTCATTAACATCACAAGTGTCATATACTCGTATGCAAACTCAAGTGCAAAGATCCGATATAAATAATAGGTGAACAACATGGATCTGGAACATGCACAATAAATGTATAGGATTTGCTCCCCCTAAATATATGCATACAAATAAATATACAAGAGATGTAAGTGTATGCATAATTAGAGAATGACCAATGGGGGTTTATCCTATACACATAGAGAAGGCATATGTAGTAATGATGTAGACCAATATAAAACATATACCTTCATGATCTCCATGTTCTCAATGTAAATGAGACTAAATAAGATAAGACTCAAGTAAACATTAGTCTCACACTTATATATCAATAACATGGAAATCAT